TGGGGGAAGCTGCAGCGAGCCACTGGCCGGGGGCAGACGCTGTGCCAGGCCCCAGGGTGCGGAGCCCTCACGGGCTGGGTGCTGCCAGCCTCCCTGAACCCCTCTCCCCACTTCCCCCCGGGGCTCCCGCGTCACAGAATGGCTTCCCACCTGGTACAGCGGCTTCCGGAAGAGGACTCTATGGTCACGGCCACCCCCCCAGCAGCAACCTGGTCTGGCTGCCGAGTCTGGGTCGGCCTCGAGGACAGAGAGCTGGGGGACCCTGCCCAGGCAGCGAGGGCCCCGTATACCCTCGCGCTCTGTGCACAGGACCCACCTTTGTCAGAGAAGGGGGTGCTGGCGCGTCCCTAGAGCCTGCACACACCCACAGCACAGGCTGTCGGGCAAGGCCGGCTCTCCCCAACCCCCGTATTTGCCTGGGCCCTCTGCTTCTGTGCAGGGCTGCGGGGGGCAGCCTGCCTGCAGCGGGCAGAGCTGCAGACCGGGGTCAGGCTGAGAGCCCAGCTCCGCCCACTCCCAGAGTGCCCTCGGGCGCATCCCAGGGCCCAGGGCTCCTGGGTGAGGGGGTTCCCACCCCACTCTCGGCACAGAGAAGGGGCCCTAGTCCTCCACCACCCCCCGGGGAACTCACCATGCCTGTTCCTCCCTGCCATTCCCCTGCTGCCCTCGGCCGCTGGTGTAATTCCCCATCAGACCCCCATCCTGGCTGGAGCCCACAGTCCCCACACGCCTCCCAGGAACCCTGGATGGCAGGGACAGGCCTGAGCACGTCTGTACAGAGGACGGTCTGGGGTCCTGGAGTGGGCTGCTGGCTCTGCGGTAGACACAGGACGGGAGTGCAAGGCAGGTGGGCCGGGAGGAATCCGGGGAGAGGCTGGCCTCGGCCTGACCCCGCAGGGCCTATAGTAGGAAGGCGCGGCTGAGCACCCCCGCCTGGGGCAACTGGACACTGTTCTGGCAGCTGCTGAGGAGGACCGTCTGGGAAACGGCCAACTCGCAGGGCCGTGGGCTCCCTGCTCTCGGGGCACGGCAGCTCTGGGGGCCCCAGTGCGGTCCGCCCAGGGAGAGCTGTGGGGGCAGGCTGCCAGAGGCCTCGGCAGGAGACACGCGTGCATAAAGGTGTGCACGCTCCTGGGTAAAATTTTTATTTTTCACTTTATATAATGTTTTACGGTTTGAAAGTTTTTCAAGTTGGATTACTTTTGCAGTTTAAAAAAACTAAGCAAGCAAGCTGCAACTAGCACAGGTGTATCACAGGGCCCCAGGAGCTAGGACGAGCCCGGGCTGGGCCTCTGATGCTACACTAGCTTTATTTGACCATCACTTTTAATGCAGTTTATATAATATTCAGAAATACCTTCAGTGGAAGGAAGAAAAGAAAAGCCTCCAATTCCTGTGGCTTAACACAGAAGGCCTTCTTCCTCACCTCATAAGAAGTAGAGAGGAGCTGGCACCTGGCTTGGTTCAGTGGCTCAGGGGTGGGTGTAAGGGTCAAGCCCTTGCCTCATGGTGGCAGGATGGCTGCAGCAGGTCCAGTCATCAAGTCCACATTCAAGGTATTATGCTAGCTGCACATGCCCTTTTTCTTGGGAAAGCAGGTGTCATCAGCTCAGTGTGAGTCTTGGGCCAGTCCTGGCCATGAGACAGTCTGTCAAGAGAGCCATCGAGTTGGCTTGGAACAAGTGCACCTCATCCCTGGGTGTGGACACATTGCTGATCCGCGCAAAACCGCTGGGGCGAGCGACTGCTGTAGCGAGTGCCGACTGGGGACGACTGCCTTCCTGACATTTGCCTGCTCTGCACGCAGCCTGAGGGGTGGGCCACGGATGTTCACCCCTCCCCACGCCCTGACGAGAGGCTCCACTCGCACAGCCTGCTCCCTGCCCCCCAGACCCTCCTCTGACTCCTCCAAACATTCTCCCTGCCCAAAGTGAGGACCCTCCTCCAGGAAGCCACCAGGCCTGCTGGGCTCTGCCTGCACAGAGCACCTCCACCCGTGTCCCCCAGCCTCGGCCGGGATCCAGCCTGTCGGGCACCTGTCCCCCGCCCCTGTGTCCCCTACCTCCTCTTGGGCCCACCTGGGACCCCCCTTCCCTGCCCCCCTGCCCCAAGTCAGGCCTCCTTTGCCCTCCCCCCACCCCCTTTCCGGTTGCTGTGGCCAGAGCTTCACCCTCTGCTCCCCTGCCCCCGCTGCCCCTTCAGGTTTGCCCCCGCCCCAGAGTTCTGGCCCCTCTTCAGGGTCACCCCATTCCTGCTGTTAAATGACTCAGCGAGTCTCTCCAAAATGCTCTGCTTTCTTCCAAAGCACCGATCACCTTCCAACTATATAACTGTCTTGCTAAGATTACTGTTTAATAATTCTTTCAAGATTTATTTTTTGGCTGTGGTGGGTGTTCACTGCTTTGCCAGGGCTTTTTCTAGTTGCAGCAAGCAGGGGCATTCTTTGTGGTGTGCGGGCTTCTCATTGTGTGGCTTCCCTTTTTGCGGAGCGGGGACTTCGTGAGTTAACTGGTCCCCTGCCCTGACCACACCCCTCTGACCGCAGCCCTGCTGGCTGGCCCAGGATTCTGAGTGGCCGGCTTGTCCTGGGCCCGGGTTTCTGCTTCCCTCTGACTGGCAGGGTTGTTTCTCAGTGTCGGGCCCTTGCAGCTCTTGGCTTGGCAAGAATCTCACGATCTGCCCCCTGTGTCCGCTCACGTCTCTTTTTTCTGTAAGCACCACTGGCTGTGCTCTGGGGGGAGCACTCTCCCGCCATCGCAGCTGGCGAATGTGCTCCCCCAGCAGCCTCCATTCGGCTGTCACACGGAGACTCAGCCTCTGGGTGGTCTCTCCCCACATGCCGTGGCCCCTGCCTGCCCCGTCCACGACACAGGTCTCTTGTCCTGTCCAGGGGTTGGGACAGCCGGCTGGCCCCTACACTTTCTAAGCAGGGGTTTGTCGCTTTTAGAATCTGGAAAGGAATCATGACTCCTGACTTGTTTTCAAAGTTGACTACACTTTTTTAAAGTTTCAAGGTTCAATGTGGATCTTTTCTCTCCCACATAAATCTTAGTGTTTCAGGAGTTTCTTAAAAAAATCAAACAGCATTTTCATTAGGATTGCACTGGGTTTAGCACAGCTTTCCCATCCCTTCTACTGTCTTCTGTATAACTTTGAAGTCTATTAAAAAGGGGGTGCTGGCCTAGGATTTGTGACCTGTCTGAGGGGCCGTGACGGGCGAGCTCTGACCGTCCTCATGTCTGTCTGTGGACCTCTGTGTGCCCCTCTCTCATGTCCTCTTTCCTTGAAGTTTGTTTTTTCCTACTGGTGAGTTGGATGTTTGATTATTTATCTGTTCTATGGGCTTCCCAGGTGGCTCAGATGATAAAGAATCCACCTGCAATGCGGAGACCTGGGTTTGATCCCTGGGTTGGGAAGATCCCCTGGAGGAGGAAATGGCACCCCACTCCAGTATACTTACCTGGAGAATCCCACGGACAGAGGAGCCTGGTGGGCTGCAGTCCACGGGGTCACAGTCGCACACAACTGAGTGACTAGTACTAAGGACTAGAGCCTGGGGGTGCATCTGTGGGGCCACAGAGTCAGACACGCCTGAGCGGCTGAGCACGGCATGAGCAGCTGTCTTCCCACTGACTTCACTTGCACGCTCTCGCTCCCCTTCCACACCGAACTGGAAACCTGCAGTCTCTACCTCTGTGCCCCGATCCTACCTCCAGATTTAAGAAAACAGTAAGCTGTGGTTCAGACCACTCATGGTTGTTTAGGCACAAGTTCTATGTCTTGTCGGGAACTGTGTCCCAGTGTTTGCAAGACCCTGCAACCAGCCAGGTATGTGCTTTTAAAACAAGTTTTCTGGTTTTGGTGCTGCTGCAGATTCTTCATTTGGATTCATTTTTAGCTCGGATGGACGCCTCCACATTCCCCAGCAAGGGCACTCAGATCCTGAATCCGTGTGTTTCTAAAACGCCTCTCTTTTGTCCTCAGACCGTGGCTGGCTGAGGGCGGAATTCTAGGCTCACAGCACAGTATGCAGGCTCTTTCTGGGAATAGGCCACACCTGAGCCTGCTTTCCTGGCCCACAGCCTGCTCGGCCACGCAGGCCACACAGTCCAGTCTGGCCCAGATTTGAGTCGGGACTTGGATGTGACCTTACCCTCAGCCCCCTGGGCAGGGGTCACCCCCGAGCTCCCAACCCCCATGTGGCTGCCCTGGCTCTGTGACAAGCTCCCGGGCAGCGTGCCTGCAGGACTCCCTGTGGCCACGGGGACTGGCTGCCTCCCGTGAGACGTGGCTATGGACGCAGCCGAGAACATGCCGTTTTAATTCCGTTTTTACAAATTTAACCTTGAACTGACATAAATACACGAGGCAGCGGGGCCCACACTGGCTGCTCAGCTTGAGCCTCGGAAGCAGGAGCAGCCCCGGAGACCGCGTGGTTTGGTTCTCAGGCTGCAAAGGACAAGTCTGAGGCCCCGTGAGATGATGAGGTCCTTGTCACACCCAGGGTGACTGTGGGTGTGCGTTTTATAAAGAAAAGCACAGTGACGGGGTTAAGAAAGGGCAGTTAGTGTGGTGATGAGGGCAGCTCTCTGGAGGCAGTCCTGCGGAGACCTGGTGGGCTTGGACCCGCCAGCGGCCCCACACAGCATGTGTGGAGGCTGCCCCTCTGGCCTGAGGGCTGTGGGGACCGATGGGGGCCCCTGCCCTCCAAGGGCGCTGGGGGCTGTGGCACACGGGGCTGAGGCAGCCTCTGCCTGCAGTTTATTGCTAACACATACGGTTTACAAACGGGCATCTACTGGCCCAAGACACTGCAGAGTTCTGGGCAGACAGGCCTGAGGGCCCCTGGACACCCTCCCAGACTCGCTGTTTCACCCTCCGGGGGGCTCTGAGCCCCCTCTGAGAGGAGGACATGGAGACGGGCTGCGGGCAGGGCCCAGGGCCACGGAGCACGGACAGGGGCCACACCCGGCCGGCGGGGACGGCCCTGCACACTCAGCTTCACTCGGTGCCTTTTTATTGCCTTTGGGTTTGTGACTGCTGATACAGTGACGCTGCAGGAGCGATGGGTGGATTAAAACCGTGGCCGGGAGGCTCTGCAGGAGCAGGCCTCAGAACCTGACGAAGGTGGCGTCGATCTGCCGCACGCTGGGCAGGGCCAGCATGATCTTCCGCCGGTACTGCGGGTCCCGCTGCAGAGGGTTCCGCTCCAGGTACACCGTCTCCAGGCTCCTGGCGCCCTTGAGCTCGTCCAAGTCGCTCCAGCAGTCCAGGAGGTTGTCGTTCATCTGGGGGGACAGCCGCGCGTCAGAGAAGCCTCGGGACCCCACGGCCCTCACCCCGCCCCATGCAGAAGACAGGCCGGCCCGTGCACCCTGGCGCATGCTGGCCGGGCCGCGTCCCGCAGGATGAAACTGGCGGACGCCGCTAAGTCCACGTCCGGGTCCGCAGAGGGACGACGGAGCCACCACACAGTGCCCGCCCCCGCCCCGGGCAGACAGGGTTTCTCAGGCTCGCCTGCTTAAGGAAGCCTGTGTTCACAGAACTCCCTGTGGGCCTCGTGTGTCAGCTGCCCTGGGACACCCAGCTTTCCAGAACTCGGGGGCTGTGGAGGCCCCGAGGCCTGCTCCCAGGCGGGGCCAGACGCCTCTACCGCAAAGGGACAAGGGCTGCTCCCTGAGGAGCCGCGGCCTGCGCCCCGCGCCGCCCGTCCATCACTGTCCCCTGGGCCCCTCCGCATGCGCAGTCGCAGCAGGGGGCCTGGGCCTCAGGCTGGGGCTGCAGCCGGACAGCCAGCAGGAGCTGCCACAGAGGGGCTGCGTGAGCACGCGGTCCACGCCTTCCACACATGCACCTTGGGAAACACGCCAGCACTGGCTGTCTCCACCTTTCTGCGCTGGCTGCACCGCTGTGGTCTGGGGGCCCAGCACCCAATCTTATGTGCCACACACTTTCCAAATCTGACAGATGGCTCTGTTCTCCAATTGGTCTTCAGTGTTTGTTTTTTTAAGCAGCATTTTGTACCATTCTTTTGGCAAAATATACAGTCTATTCATAAGCATTTTTTGTATTTTCTTCCTTAAAAAACATGGCTTCTGTGTTTCTGCTACAAAATATGGTAATAACTGGGGAGTGTAGCAAGGTGTGTTCTGCATCACGTGAAGGTCAATGAAGTTCACAGAAGTAAAAGACGCCTTCATTTAATAAACGGAGGCCTGTCACTGTTCGGAGGGGAGGTCCTGGCAGCGGGATCTACTTCCACCCCTTTCCTGTGTTGCTGGTGGTGGCGTCCCCGACTCGCCCGCGCCTCCTCTCCCCTCCACGGTCATTTACGCCGGACACACAACCTACGTGCTTCCCATGTGAGCCGTCACAGCTCCGCCAACACCGCTGTCCCAGCAGTCAGTAGTTACTAGGTTTACAAGCCCGAGGTCTTATCAGTTAGGGTGTTCTGTAGCACAGCTAGCCTCCAGGCAGTTTTCTCAAGGATTTGTAAAGTGGGCCTGGGGATTTTGCTCAGCACCAACAGCGCTTGTAAAGGAGCCTTAGACAAGGTAACTCCAGATGCTTTTAACTGTACTTTTTCAAAATGAAACTCAAAACCATTCACCTGTACTGTCTCCACAGAAACTCTAGAATATCTGGAAGGGTCATGGGCGGGAGGATGGGTCTGTATGTCTCTCTTCTGAGTTCTTCCCAGCTGAGGCGTGTGACCTTCCCAGCTGAAGGAGCGAGGTGTGGGGAGTGACCTCCCGGTGCACTTGTCTTCTTAAAGAACCTCCTGGAAGCACTGTTTTAGTTTCTTCTGTTAGACTGTCTCCCGCCTCCTTCTCACACTGTTTCCTGTCAAATGAAGTGGCCTTTAAAGCAAGCCAGCTGCTGGTCTCGCAGAAGGGCCTGTGCTCTGGATGCAGCAGGCTGCTCCCTGTGGCCGCGAGCTTGTTCTCCAGCCACTCCACACTCGACCGCTGCGTTACGTGCACACGTGGGGGAGGTCCCCCCAAATGTCCTGACCAGCACCCCGAGCAGACGGAGCGCACGGAGACGGCACCCTGCGCCGTCTCACTCCCGGGTGCGTGTGATCGCGTGGGCATGCTGGTGACCCCGACAGCTCTGCAAACTCCTGGCGGGTGATCCTGGGCTCACATGTGAACATCCTGCCTGAACCCACACTGCAGTCCTGCTGCAGACGCAGCTGGGATGGCGCTCCATGCAGACTGTCTCCAGAGTCTATTCCAGTGGTTTCTGGTGGCTGACATTTACATACAAAATTCACATTCACTTCCCCTCAAATTCAGCAACACTTGAAACAAAACCAAGGTGTAGGAGAATTCTCAAGGTGTTTTTCTTACACAACAAAATCACTTGTAGGCTGCTGGCGTCAGACTAGGAGTCTGCTACTTCATAGAAAGTTGGGGGTCTGAGACCACGCGAGCCCCCGACACAGCCAGTCTGCTCACGGCCCCATCATGGGGGGCATCCTGCCTCCTCCAGGCCTCTGTCACTCAGGCCAGCATAGGTTCCTGGGAGGATCGCCAGGGCACGAGGGCCGGCACCTGGCTGGGCTGGGGTTAGAGGTGTGTGCATGTTGCAGTGCTGGGTGCCCCGGTGCTGGAGCAGCCTGGTCAGGACCCCGGCTCTGGGCTCATCCTCTGGCTGTGACATGCCCTGGCCTCTTCAGACCGAATCCCTCTGCTCCGATCCACTGCTGACCCCGGCCACGCCCTCCTCCACAGCTGGGCTGCACGCCAGACCGCAGTCCCGGTGGCTTGCTTTGCGCCCAGCCCTGCAGAGGCTGGTCTGGGAGTCACGCCCTGACGGCACCCAAGACCAGCGCCATCACTAAAGGGCAGGGGCATCCTCACAGCAGGCCACTGTGCGTTAGGGAAACCTGGTCATTTCTGAGATGAGGAGAAGAACACACACAGGACATCAAAGGGTTGGCAGAATGGCTGGGTGAGGAAGGGGCAGGCCTTGGACACAGCACAGATCTTGGATGACGCACACTTTGCACACGGCACTCCTGCAGGAGTCACACTCGGGACAAGCGTGTGGAACTCTGACACTGCAGATCTCAGCTGGGGGTCGACCTGCAACCCCCTCAAAAGAGTCTTGTGGTTTCTTATGCCTCGTTTCTCATCTGTGGGCTCCAGGAACCACACCCATCACTGTGAGACCAACAAGGGGCACGTTCCAAGGTGACCAGCCATGGAGGCCCATCCATAGCTCCTCCCGTGGTTCTGGGCCATCTGAGCCAGGAGCACGGCCTCGGGGCTGCGTCTGGAAGCCCTCCAGCCACATGGTGACCCTGGGACTAACCCACAAGGATCAGGGCTTCTCATGCGCCCGGCCATCAACGGCTCTGCCTCTGGGGTGGGACAGGGCCTGACAGCCTGTGACTTTACCCAGCTCTCTGGTGACGCCGTTGCTGGAAGGCCACATGCATTGTGGGGACCACGTCTGCAGCCCCCCGAGCTCTTGGTCCCCGCCCCGGCCCCCAGAGCCGCAGCAGAAGCGCTCCAGGCACCGGGACCTGCTCAGCTGAGCGCCAGCAAGCGCACGTGCATTGCACTTACCCAGAATTCCTGCAGCTCTGTTAGGTGGCTGATATTCTCAATCTTTTTGATTCTATTTGATGCAATGTCCAACATCGTGAGTTTGTTCTAGAACAAGGAGATAAAATTTTCCTGCATTACCTCAGTCCCACCATGACTGTGGGTATGCACGTTGCGCTGGGCGCTGGGCTTACAGCGCGAGGCGAGCCGCCCTCTGCCCTCACAGGAAAGGGGGTGTTGGTGGGTGGGGGCAGGGGGCATGGCCCTGCCCCCTCCTGCAGCACCCGGCCGAGTTTACAGCCAATCTTCACCACTGCCTCACTGAGCTCTTGTCACTGGGGTCTGAAACTAGAGCCACCAGATTCCACGCCCCAGACTCCCACATCCTGGTCCACAGGACCCCAGCGGGACGGGTCCTGGAGGGGCAGAGAGCACCCACCAAAACAGAGGCGGCCTGGGCCCTGGGGCGGGCCCTGCACGGCGACAGGTGTTGCAGCATTTATCTGGTGCTTGTCCCAAGGAGGCATCCAGCCCCGAGTGATTCTGAAACCGCCCCTCTTCACTTAAGGCAGAGGGCCCAGGGCGCGGCGAGGGACTGCCAGGCCCCACACCGTCCCTTCTGGGAGGACCCTGCTTCTTGCACAGAGAGGAGTGTTCGAGCAGCCCATCTGGGTGCCGACTGGGCACGGGCTGCTTCCGTCGACTTCTGCTCAGACGGCCACTGACGGCAGTGGGCTGGAAGGCACCTGCCCGCAGGGCGCAGGGGCTTTGGGCAAACAGGGACTTGGGAGAACCACGCAGAAGGAAGTGTGGGTACGGCAGGGTGGGGCCCAGTCAGGCCCGCTGTGCCCGCTCTGGGGGCTGGGGGGTGTGGGGGTGTGAGCGCGGGAACCGGCCGGGCTGCAGTGTCTATGGCACGGGGGGGCTGTGACCCTGGGGCAGCCCCTGTGTGGAGACCAGCCCAGGGGCGCCGAACAGCCAGAACGGCCCCAAACCTCCGAGCACGAGGACCCCATCATGTGCTTGATGCTACCTTGAGATGTTCTGGGGAGCTGGACAGCGTTTTGAAAGCTTGTTCAAAAGCAAACCATTACTAATTACTTAAATAAGGTAAGGACGGGGATGGGGGTAAGGTGGGGTGGGGAGAGCAAGCCCCGCAGAGCCTACGACGTCCGCAACCACAGTCTCCCCGGGCAGACCTGTGGGAAGGCCTGCTACCTGGAGAAGCCCTGAGCAGGGTGGCCCCAGGGTGGCCCCAGGGCACCAGGGGAGCAGCCGCTCCCCGTTTGAGAGAAAGATCATTGACCGCTTGACTTCATACTACAAAAGTAAACTCCAGGGAAGTTAAGAGATGCAGCTCAGAGGAAAATACAGAATATTTGCTCTTTAGTTGAATAAAGCCTGTTCCATTTGATTAGGGGGAACTTGCAAAAATGTAATTACTTTAAAGCCGCACTGCTCTCCTTCTGTTTCGCTGCAGAGGCCCACGCAGGGTCTAGTACTGGGCCGGGCCACCGAGCAGCAACCCCCCGGGATCCTGCTGCTCCTGGGGGCCACGCCCTCTCCTGCACAGACCCTCCAGCCGCTGTGGGGACTGGCGTGGGGAGGAGGCCCTGCCAGCCCCCGTCCAGCCCTACCTCTCAGAGTTTGGCCTCAACCTCTCATTCTGCACTGCCCAGGCGTGCACCCAGGTGACACACCAGCTCTGCAAACTGACTGAAAGGCAGGGGAAGGTGACCACGCTCACTGGAGGCAAATTTCACCAGCTTTTCCAAAATTCTGTAAATGTTGGTGAAACAAAATCCAGAAAGCAGGTTTCCCCTAAAATCTCACTGATGGTGATGAGGCCCAGGGCCAAAGAAGCCCTTACGAAGATTGAAACACAGTGCTTACCAGGTGACGGACCTGGTTACACCTGCTGGCAATTAAAACAGGAAAAAATACCCAGTAAAATTGAGTGAGTTCAAGTATTTTATTTGTCTTGAATACTGCGCTGAGGAAAAGCAGGCTGACCTGCAACAGTTGAGGAGGGCAGGGGCCTCCTGAGGGCTCAGGGCTAGGGCTATCCCCGCTGCCCACTGCTTCTAAGCTGTCCTGTGTTGGGTGGGCAGGGCTGGTGGGGAGAGGAGGAGGGAGGAGGAGGAGGAGGAAGGGAGGGGGGAGGAGGGAGAAGGGGAGGGAGGACGGAGGGAGGAGGACGGTGCAGGATCTGGGCCCTCGGCTGGGGGTGGGGCCAGGAAGCTGGTGGCCAGGGGCAGGAAGAGAGGGCAGCTGCTGACAGCTGAGAGTCGTCCATGGCACACGGACACCCAGGAGCAGCTAGGGTTTCCGTTTTAAAAACTTTAATTATTGTTGGCCATGCCATGCTGCACGCAGGATCTGTTCCCTCACCAGGGATGGAACCTGTGTCCCTTGCATTGGAAGCTTGAAGGCTGAACCACTGGACCAAAGGGAAGTCCCTGGGGTTTACTTTTTAGAAACTTTCCCAAAGCCCATAGAGAGGTGCACTGACCCAGCCCACGACACACAGCTCAGCCCCGCTTAGCGCGCGGGTGAGGAGCGAGTTGGCCGGCCCATGGCCCAGCCTGAGGCGCCTGGAAAGGTCTCCCCGGAGAACCTCTCGAGACTGCCTGTGCCCCTACAGCCCCACAGCCAGACGGGCTCTTACGTTGTTGTCCAGGCCCTCGATGACCTCGATGCCATTGTGGCTGAGATACAGCTCCCGGAGGTTCACCAGGCTCTGCAGGCCCTCGATCTTGGTCAGCCGGTTGCTCTGCAGGGAGAGTCAGAACGGCGTGAGACCGGGGTGCTTCTGGGGAGCAGGGCTGCGGACCCGGGGCTCCTGACAATAGGGCACCACCCACAGCGGCTGCAGGGGCCTCGCCCAGAGGGAGGCAGGGCCCAGACGCAGGCAGGGCCCTGCGTCTGCTGTCCCGGGCGAAACTTGTGTGCACGGCCAAAGGCTCTGATGCACGAAACTCACTTTTCAAAATCTACTTGAGGAAAGTCTACCTCAAATAATTCAGTTAACTCAAAAATGTCAAAATCAGGATATTTTAAAATAACTTAGTTGTCATTTCTTTCGGCATCTGTCATAACTGGAGATGGAGGACAGCGCCCGCTTCTCACACAGGTCTGCACGACAGCTGCTTTCTGAGAGGCCTGCCACCAACACCCCCGGGGCCGCCGCCACGCACCTGCTCCTGACAAAAGGAGCTGGGCCGAGGCTGCTGCCCACCCCACGCAGGGGCTGCCCAACCACGCCCATGTGGCACGCCCCCGGCACGGATGGACGGGACACGGGGGTCCCTCCAACCATGGAACCCAGCACAGTGTGAGCTGTGGAGATGAGCTGCTCTGGCTAAAAGCCGCCTGGACTTTCATTAGGAGAACAAACGTGGCACGTTAAGGAAGGAAACCTCAGGCCCACGTGTGTCACACGTTTTGCAGGTCCGTGAAGTGTGATGTCTTCATCGCTCACTTGACAGTGAAGCCAAGCATCGCCCAGCGTGGAGACATGGAGGAGCAACGCTCTGCTCTGGGGGCCCGGGGGGGGGGGAGGGTGGGCCTTCCGTACCTGCATGCTGAGGACGGTCAGGTTGGTGAGTGCGTCCAGATTCTGAAGCTTAGTGATCTTGTTTTTCCCCAAAAACAAACTCTCCAGGTTGGTTAACGTGTCGATATTTTCAATCGCCTGTGAAAATCAGGACAAGGCAGTAGTTACTGGAGAGGGGAAAGGGCCCGCCCCTTGGGCGAGCAGACGGAGCTGCCTGGGCATTGGGCAAGGTACTGCCCACTCTGAGATCCCCCCAGGCAACCTCACTGCAGAGTGCAACCTGAGAACAAGACGCTGGTTGTGTCCCGCAGGTGAGAGACATGGGAGCCCTGAGCCTGGGACGCCCGCAGGCTCCTGGGGGTGCTCTGCCCCTTCCTGTCTCTGCAACCCCTTCTGCCTTCCTCCCTGCTCTGCCGCGTGCTCCCCAGTGCCCCGTGGGCAGCTGTGCTAATGAGCGCCCTGGCAGGCCTCAGGTCACCGCCTCCCGGATACGGCACTCTCACAGGCTAACTGAGCTTTTCCGGCAGGGGACGCAGCGGGGCCTCCAAGTGCGGAGCGAGCCTCTTGTCCAGGTCTCATAGCAGGACGGGGCCGGGGTTGGTCCGGGAGGACGAGGACTTGGAGGAAGGGCAGCCCTGCCTGCCATCGCCTGCATCAGCTGTGACGCAGACCCTCTCTCTCCCACAGGGATGCTGCGGAACGCGCTGATGCCTGGACCACTCCGAGTTTTGCTACTTTCAGCCACATCACCTCCACCAACGGTCTTAAGAAGCCCTTTGACGCAACTGTTCTCCTTGCTTTGCATTCTGTGTAGCTCATGAAAGCCAACATGAACTGAGCAGTATGCTAGAAGCTTCCAAAAGTTGGAGGGGCATTTCTGGCATGCAGGTGGGGGAAGGGCTCAGAAACCCTTCCCTCAGCCACTCAGCAGGCGCAGACGGGCCAACCACGCACCAGGCTGTACCCCAACCCCCATGGCCCGGAGAGAGGGCCCGTCCCTCTGCTATGCTCGGGCCACTTCTGCGCCAAGAGGTACGACTAAAAACACATCCAGCGGCACACTCAAAAGCAAAGCGCTGGGGGCTGCTGTCGGGCAGAGTGCGATGGGAGTCTGCTAAGAGTTACATCGCGACTGGAATAAGGAGCAAGGGAATGCTGTGTGCAGAAGAAAGGCTAGCCCCCTACATCCGGGCCACACTCTAACACCGACCCCCAGTCAGCACTCGGTCTCGTGAGAGACACAGCTGAGCACACGCCCTGCACACCTCCAGGCAGCACTGCGTGCCCACACCCACCCGTATCCGGTTGGACCCCAGCTCCAGCATCTGCAGTTGGTGCAAGCTGCTTATGTTCTCAATTTTGTTGATCTTGTTGTTGACTAAGAAGAGCTTCTTCAGTCGTGTCAACTTATCAATTCCTTCAATGTTTCTCAGTAGATTAAAAGAAATATCTAGAATCCTGGGAACAGGCAAAACATTTATTAACGAGCACAGGCCACAGCAAGCTCAGGACATAACTGACTTAGAGGCAGCACCCCACCTGGGGAATGTGCGGGGGTGAGGGGGGCAGCCCACAGGACCCCCAGAGCCTGCTGCCCTGGCTCCCAGGACGGGGCTGAGGGCAGAAACCATGTTCTTCCCGAGGAGGCAGCCTGACGTCTGCAGTCAAAGGCTTCACGTGCAGGCTGGGACTGTGGGCAAGTCGGTGCCCAGGAGGAGCCAGGCACAGGCTTGACCTTGGAGGGGGGCTTCCCAGGCCTCAGTTTGGGGGTGCAGGGCTGGTTTTGGGGAGGCTGCCGGGCTCCTTGCAGTCTCACAACTCACTCTAGCTCTGTCAGTGCCTCCAGGTTCTCAATCTTCCTGATCTGGTTGTCATAAAGATCCAGCTCGCGAAGACTCTGCAGCTCCTCTAGGTTCTCAATACACTTAATTAGATTCTGCCGGAGGCAGAGAGTCTGGGGGACAGAGAAAGGTTAGCTGACACAGGCAACAACGTGGCTCAGAGGAAGTGCCCGCTGGTCCTGGACTCGGCCTCCGCGCACAGGACCCGGGTGGGGACGGTTTACCTCCTGTTTTCTAGGATGGTGCTGACCCGCGGGGGTGGAGGCAGGCCACGACGAGCGTTCGTGACGCGGTGAGGGAGGCTCTGGGCAGGGGAGGGGTGCTATTTTCCAGCAGAGGGAACCCTCGATGGCTCAGTTTTGGAAACCAGACTGAACTGCACTGAGTTAAGCGCGCAGTCTGGGCTGCACATGGCTGCAGGCAGGCTCCGATGGAGGCACCGCCGGTCTGAGCCACCGCGTGAACCTGAGGAGAACCACCCAACCTAGCGTCTGACCTATCACCCTGCAGGGCTCAGGATCAAAAGTGCCGAAGGACGTTCCGGTGCAGCGCGGCACCTCCCCAAGCATGGTCACAGTTCTGTTCCAGTTTATCTACATCCGGCGGGCGGGATGCACTCTGCAGGGTCACAGAGGCCCCTCCCATGCAAGGCCAAGTTCCTCTCACCTTCACTTTCTTCAGCACCTCAAATCCTTCAATTTTTCCAATGCGATAATGATTCAAATCAACATCCTGAAACAGAGATAAAACCTAGCTCAGCTGCAGACAAGCACCTGGAGATGCGCTTCCCGGGCTTGGAGCCACATGGAGGCCGAGAGGCGGCGGGGCTTGGGGAACAGTGCTGCCCGGAGCCGTGGGGACAGGTGACGCGGGCACAGCCATGCTGTGACAGGCAGCGGCCTGACGTGAGACGGACCCTCTGCACTAGAAGCCTGGTCTCGCCCCTGCGGGCTGCCCCGAGGGGCGTCTCTTCAGGGCAGTCCCACCCTTGCCTGCGGCTCCTCAGGCTTCCCTGAGTCGCAGATGGCGGGACTCCTGCCAGGACGGAGCAATCATCTGACTCATGTAACGCAGCAGTCAAGGCGCTGCCTTTGCCACACAATCCTCAGGGTGTGAAGCGCAACTCGAGACTGGGCACTGGCATTAAAACCAGTAAGAACACAAGGACTCTGACCAAGGGCCACCCAGACTACCATACTGTCTAGGGAAATCATCTACTAATCTGGAACCGACATAAAAGACCCGACGGCAGAGCGCTCCACCACCAGGCCCCTGGGGTGGCCGAGCAGGCAGCGTTACCTCTGCGTCTCTGTCCAGGCTAATGGTCTCCATATCCACAGGCAGCTCTTGTCCTTCTGGAAGAGGAAGAAGAAAAAGGCCCATTCAGAGCGGCTGGTCTCCAGGAGCACGTGCCTGGACGCTGGGGCCAGCTGGGCCGGGCTGCCTGAAGCACAGGGCCAGTTCAACAGAGGAAGAACCTGCAGGCGACACCCGACGGCAGCGACGCGGTGGAGCCAACACCTGACAACCGCCACCTCTCAAGGTTCTGTGTCCTGAATTCAGCTACTGGCAAAGGTCTCCAGGATTCCACCTACATCCTACAAATTTCCCAAGAAAGGAAATGTGGCCTGAAGCTGTTGGCAGAAGGGTGGGGGGCAACCGAGCCTCAGGTGACCCCAGCCAGCAGCACGGAAGCCGCCCACTGCCGCCTTCCGGCTCGGCCTGCAGTGGTACCTGGGGGTGGCCTGCCCCCAGTCTTTCCCTTCTGGTCTGTGGCAATGAATCAGGTCACTGGAATGTGGGTCATGCCTGGCACATCAGATGTTCTAGGATGTGCCTTTTATTGCTTTGCAAAGTGGCCCTGCATCTACAGACACGTCTCTCTGCAAAGAGCAAAACAAAATGAAGCTCAGTTCAACTGACAGGATCAAAGAGCCTTGCTGAATAAGTGAAACACACCCCTTGCTGAGGAACCAGGGAGGCTGGGAGCCAGTCCGCCCTGGAGAGCGGGTCCCCAGGGCCCCAGCGGGGCCAAGGAGGGCAGGCCTGGACTGACCGTAGCACATCGGACTAGAAGGGTGAGCCGTTCTCCCAGCCTGCCAGGTGCATCAGGACCTGGAAGAGGTCACACACGTAACCGGAGAGCATTTCTACAGTCCGTTCTTGCTCTCACAGCGTGCTGCTGAAGAAACAGGTCACCTGCCTCGCAGAACACCTGGTCCTGGTGGGCACGTGCCTGCTGTCTGGCCTGTGCCCCGGGGCCTCCTGCATCTGTGTCTTCCCTACAGCAACACTGCCCACATCCTGGCCTCATAGTCCCGGCACCTCCCCAGCATGGGCAGCTTACAGGCTGGACTGGAGGCCCCAGAGAGGCACGCCCAACTCAGGAGCAGCCTGAGAGGCTTCCTGGCCCCACACTGGCTAAATTCATTGCACTGCCTTTTCCATAACCGTCAACAATGGCTAGTTAAAAAACAAAACACATCATTTACTCTAGGTCAGCCATAGCTTTATGGAATGTCAACAAACCCAAGAATTAAATAAAAGGAGTTGGGCAAAGCCAAGAGATTGCCCCCAAATGATCCCTCTTCAAAAGACAGCACAGCCAACAACTTGAACTCCAAAGTTGCAAAGAAAGACACGCCACAACCAAGGCAGGGTGTCCAGGCCACTTGGGGTCCAAACCAGGACATGAGCTCACAAGGCCTAAGAGCTCTGTCCATAATACACGCAGCACAGGGCGGCGTTCAACACGCCTGCTTAACCTTTGAGACAAAGTTACCAGCCATCTTCCTGAACCTATCTCATATGTTTCATGTGTTAAAACATTAACTTACAGAAAATCAGTGAAAGGTTAGCAGCTGACAGGTCTGAATTTGTTTATTGGAACCTAAGACCTAGACAGGCACAGGGAGGAGCAGGTCCTGGCTCTCCAAGGACTTAGAAGCGCATCTCCCTGGGGCACTGCTAGCCAGGCTCCCGAGCCGGGGAGCGCCCACGCTAGGTCTGTCGGCACGCTAGGCTAGGCAGCAGAACGTGACCGTAGGGGGCGCACCCCCCTTTCCAGTGACTCAGCCCCAAGGAGAGCTGTCACCCACCCCTCCCATGTGCTTCTCCACCCACATGGCTTCCAGAATGTTGCCTCTGAAGTTCCTAAATAATGTGACTCGTACTTTTGTGGTAGTCGCCTTTTGCCTTAAAATTAGGTTGCCATAGTTACCAAGCATCTGTGCTGGCACACAGCATGATGTTACTTTAAAGATTAGTTTTACTTCTATTACCAAGGGGAATGGGGAATGCACGAGTATCGATACCTTAAAAGTCCACACAATGGAGATAAACCTAGAAAATGCAGAATGTACAAGACCCTCTCAAACCTGCTCCTTAGAGATCCCCTGCTCCAATTGTTTGATGTGTTTTCTTTCTCAAGTAGGTAAAACTACATGCTATTATCAATATTTAAAAAATAAAGATAGGATTTTAACATGCACACTGTCTGTAAAAAAATCTGCTTTTTTCACCTAGTATACTTTGGATATCCTTCTGTGTGTATGGTTTCTCTCCCTTCTTTCAATGGAAACTGATTTTCTAAGCAAACAAAGAAAAAAGGTTTAGATCATGGTTAAGGGGGTGAAAAACCATCATTATAGGCGGAGAACTCTTTTTTCAACTCTAAATTCCTTTGCTGTTTTTAATCACTAAGAAGACAATTTAGAAGCTGATCCTCAGGCTTACAAGTATGGTGGAGCAGGACTCAGAAATGACTTCTCTAAGATAAAATTAGTCTACGTGACCGAGGTAGGAAAAGAAGGCATACAATGTTTATTTTATTTCAATCTCACTTTGTGAACATGTGGGTAATAAATGATTTCCTGGTTCTGTTCCAGAGGACACATTTGTACCAGTATCACTAGCGGCTGTATTTGCCTTCTGTGAAATTAGGAAACCATCCATCTTGCCTGCAAGTGCCCTAAGTGTGGAGCTGACTTGGCGAGCTCCTCAGAGGGGGCTCTGAGCCCTTGCCCACCAGGCCCTGCGGGGCTTCCTGAGTGGACTGGGTAGGTGCCTGGTGACACCCCTCCCCGCCCCCTAGGCTGAGCACAGCCGACAGAGCCCGCAGCCTCCCGCTGTGCGTTTAAGGCTCTCCCCTTGCCCGGTACCTTCTGGGTCCTCCGCCCCCCGCTCCTCTCCATCCTTCAGGCTGTGTGCGCTGAGATCTGCCACCATCCCGCTGCTCTGCTTCTTCCCTTCTTCATCGCCCGACTCTTCTGATTCAACCCGCCTGTCAACTGAATCCACACACACCCGTAAGAACGCATATTCATATCAGCGGACTCTGTGAGGAACATACAACAGACTGACATCCAGCTGGAAGTCAAAAAGACTTCATTCAAGAACTTTTGTCGAATTCAGGTCAACAAACATCTGAGTACTTTCCACGTGTGTCCTGGGCACCGTGTGAGGTAGCCAGAGGAGGGGAGGACTGGGGCTGTGCTGGAGGGGAGAGCAGGGAGGCCGCGGGGTACAAAGGTCAGAAGCACACTACTCTTGTTCTCAAGGAACTCGAGAAGAACAGCAGGTATCTGGAAGGCCTGGGTGGCGTGTGGCTGAATGTGCTGATGGTAACACGCAGAGAAACACCTCCTGTCCGCGCCCTCTTGGCCTGGATATTCACACAGAGGGGACAGTGTGACCCTCCCGCCACATACCTTCATCCAGGCTCCACTATCCATTTGGCCAAGAAAACCAGCCCAGTTCACAGGCCCACGTTCTGAAAGAAATCAAGACTAACTCAAATCAGACTGTGGGCAGTGGGGCGCTCTAGAAAAGGAGAAGACAGCCAGCAGTGCTCCACGCCCCACACGAGTCACGGTCCTAAACGCCACGGCACCGTTAACCCAGCGCAGTCTTATACTGAGTGCCGAGTTGCCTCAGTCGTGTCTGACTCTTTGCAACCCTATGGACTGTAGCCAACCAGGCTCCTCTGTCCATGGAGATTCTCCTGGCAAGAACAGTGGAGTGGGTTGCCATGCCCTTCTACCAGGGATCTTCCCGACCCAGGGATCAAACCCACGTCTCTTATGTCTCCTACATCGGCAGGCAGGGTTCTTTATCACTAGCACTACCTGGGAAGCCCAATTAAATGCGGCTGACTGGTAAAAATCTTTTGGCAAGACTGTCAGATAATTCTCCCTTTTCTTAATTTTTTGGCAACCTCTGTGGAAGCCTGTCTGGAAGAGCTAGAGCACTAGCAGGCTGTGTGGCATCATCAGTCACAGGGCAAGGAGTCTCTCTTCTCTGACCACAGCTTATCTACAGAGGGGTGTGTGTTCTGTGGGGAAGGACGCTGCTTCACCTCCAAGTCTCCCACTGGGATTAGCAAAGCAGCACCCAGGAAAGGCTGTTGGCCAAGTCCTGATGAATTCACCTCTAACACCACCACACCCATTCCTTCTTCCTACAATTTTCTGGCAACTGTCTTGGATCAGCTACTCACTACCTGTGGTCTGGGCTCCTGCCTGCCCTCCTAACTGGTCTCTCAGTGGCTTGTCTGTCTGTTTAAATCTATTCTTCAGAGACTCAGATCTGATCCCAGAATCCAAATCTAATCTTTGATTCCCCAAATGTCTAGAATGCCCGTGACTCTTCCTGAGTTTGCACCTTGCCCCGACAGACACAGCTTTCGCCTGTTACTTCCTTTGTGAAGCCTCAGTATCCTCATGAGTAGAAGGAGCCAGAATAGTACCCACATATCAGAGTCGCCGTCAGGCACAACAGCATGTGCATGACATGCATGAAGACATGTAGTAAATTAGCCGTCACCAGGCACAATCCCTCTGTGGTCCAGGCTAAGGGACAGCAAGTTCTACTGGGTGATGGTCTGAGCCCAGGGTGGGAGGGGCTTAGCTCATGCAGGACAGCCAAACTGAAATATGGGATAGCAGATCAGCATACCAGGTGACTGTGGGGCACTGGGGACAGTGGCCTGGCTCAAGGTACTGGGAGGGGGAAGGGGAGAGGTAGCAAATACTTGGAGATACTGGGGAAGTGGGGGCAGCAGAGCTTGCTGATTTGTGGAATGGGTGGCAGCCAGAGAGAAGGGATTGCCTAGGTTTCCTCCCATTTGCCATTTACCAAGACAGGGAGACAGCTGAAGAGGAAGTGGGAGAGGTAGGAGGGCAGGGAGAAGGCGGATAAGAAGAGGTGCTTCCCCGCTTAGAAAGACCCAAAGGTCTCCAGATCCAAGACCTTCCTGAGCTCCTCCCGTCCACCCAGGCCCTCCACCACGTGCCCCGCCTGCCTCACCCGCCTCTCTCTCCTCCAATACCACTGTCACTCTTGGTCACTCCAGACAGGTCACACTCCCTCACACCCCTCTGCTTGTGTGTGGTTCCCTTCACCTGGCCATTGCTCTTTCCTGCCCCCTGTCTCCAGCCTGCCTGACTGGTATATCCTTCCAGGTGCAGCAGGGAGCTGGCTCTGGTTGCTGCAGCCATCACTCCCAAACATGCTGCCGCCTCTTCCACCCCTTCCCTGGCACTTGACACTGGAGACCCCGGCTTCTCTTCGGGAGCCCTCAGGAAACCAGCAGAGCCAAAACTACAATGAGTGCTCAAAGACACGATCTGGCTCTCCACTGGGACTAGGTGTGCATGTAATTATATACATACATAACATGCATGCCGATTTTTTTCAACAAAGCGAAAGACTTGAAATTAGTCTTTTGGATCTATGACAGCTTTGAAAACAGGTACCTGTCGATTCTATCACTCAACTCTCGGCTGGGGTCAGCCGTTCCCCTCAACCGGTTCGCTTTCCAGAGGACCCTTCTCCACCCCCGCCGCGTCCACCAATAAGCTGCCTCGGGCGGGTCCCAGGGAGCCCGCGCCTCGTTTCTCGGTCAGCTGCCTGGGGACCTGCCTCGCGGGTTCAAGCTCAGGGATTCGGTGCGAGGCTCCCAGCAGCTGGGGCGGGCGCAGGGAAGCACCGGGGTCCGCGACCGGCTGTCCGGGGCCATCCCCGCCCTGTCGGTTGGCAGATGTCACGGGGCGCGCGGGGCTGGGCCCGGGCCTCCCCGTTTCTCCCGGGCATGCCTGGCACGGGCCGCCGCCCCCGCCCCCGCCCGCCGGGCCCTTCGGTCGCCGACCCGCGGGGCCACTCACCCTCCATCATCTCCTGCGACTGTTGCTGGCCCGCGCCGCGCTCTGCCGCCATGTTGGGTGCTCTTTCCCTTTCCGGAATCTGTCGCCTCAGGCCCCTCAGCCAATCAGGGCTCCCAGCTCAAAGGCTTTCCAGCCAATGGGGCCCTGCGCTCTTGCGCGGCTCGAGAGCCTCATGGGAGTTGTAGTTCACCCGCGAGGCCGCGCGTGCCTCCGCCTCCGCGCCGCGGGTCTCCCTGCCCGGCAGGCAGGTGATGAGCGCACTGGAGGCTCTGGAGGCGGGAAGCGGGATGAGGGCAGGGACGCTCGGGGTCGCAAGCACGGAGTCGAGCCTGCGGGCGAGCGGAGAAGAGCCTGGGGTGGCTCTGCGCTCATGGGCTGGTGGCGGGACACGGCGGGGCGGCTCCCCAGCCACTCCGAGTCTCGGCGGCGGCGTTTGCAGAATTGGGCAGACATTGTCCCGGCGTCGCGGTGGGGACTGAATCCGTACGAAGGGGCCGCTTCCAGTTAACGCTTAGCGCAGGGCGCCCGCTCTCTTTTCCAGGGCCTGTCCGCTAACGGGTCCAGGAGAGCTGGTCGGACCTGGATGCCGGTTTAGCTACTGCGGGCGCCGCAGCCCGAAACGGGTCCCGGCCCCGCGGGCATCGTGAGCCGTGAGGGAGCCGCCCTCTGCTCCGCGCCTTCAGGTCGAGGCCTCCGAGAGGCGAGGTCCGCGGTCCTCACCCTTCTTGATCCCGAGACCGGAGGAAACGGCGTCCGGGGACCGCGCTGGCGGAGGCGCCGTCTCTTTTGGCTCCTCTGAGGCGCCGTAGACGGACTCCGTCGCGTCCCTAGCAACCGTTAGCGCGGGCGTCTCCTCGCGGGTTCCCTGGGTCCCCGCCCACAGGCGCCGGCGGTTGGCCCCTGGGACCTGTCAATCGGCACCCGTCGCTCTGTAATTGGCTGGTGGCGCTAGAGGCGCGGACTGGCGCTCTACTGGCGCGCTGAGGAGAGCTCGGCGGGTGACTGGGCGACCTCAGGTGAGCCACCCGCGTGGGAGCACCGCCCCGCGCCCCACGTTGTCCCACTGCCCACTCCGCGCCGCTCGGTTGGTGGCGGCTCGCTTGCCGCTCTGTGGCTGTTAGCGCCTGCCCGGGCCCGCCTCTCAGCGCTGCTCAGGGTCTCGGCCTGGGCCTGGCCCCACCCGGCGCTCGGTCCTTGCCCCCAGAGGGTCTGTGTGCACCTGTCCCACCGCTGTAAGGGACCAGGAGGAGGCTCGCGGAGCTTGACACCCAGGAGCCGCTCAGTGGACGTGTGTGCGGAGAGCCGTGAGCTGTGAGCTTCATCTATGCTGTGAGCCTCATCCATGCTGCCCGCCGTCCCCACTGCACACCTGGGCTTTGTCTTTAACTTCCTCGCAAGCGTTTCTTTTCCTAGACAAGGACCGTGGCCTTGCGGTGCGGTCTGATGCCTTCTGTCCCCTTACCTTCTACATCTGGCAAAGTAAACCTATGTCGATTCTGTGTCTTACTTTCTCTTGCGAGTTCCCCTGTGTGTGTTCCTGCCGTTGCTTTAAGACCTTATAAGTTCTTGCGTGAATGACGGTGACTTCCCCCTTCCCCATGTTGGTCAGATTACCACCAAGCAGGCCTTGAAAGTCAGTCTTTGGGGTAAGAGCCATACTGCGTGCTGCAACAAGAGGCCCTGGGAGTCAGCCCAGCTTCTTCAGACCCGTCTTTACGGGTGGACCCCTCCCCAGGGGCCCTGTAGGACTCACTGCAGTTCTTCCTGAAAGGTTCCTTCACTCTGCTTTGCCGGCTCAACTCTGCTGGTGCCTCCTCCAGGACGCCTGTGCTGGCCTCTCAAGTCTGAGAGGTGCCCTTGACTCCTACCCTCCATCACAGCAGCGTCACCCTGGATACTCTGGAGGGGGCCTGGACGTGAGAAACAGACCGCCTCAGGATGGGCCCCACACCTGACATCCAGAGGAAGGCAGGTGTTAGGGGAGGGTCATCCTGTGGCTCAAAATGACATCCTGCCATTTTCAGCTCTGCCCGCGAGCGTGTTAGCCTCATGCTGTACTGCTCTGCTTGCACAGCAGTGGTGGGAGCAGTTGGAACCAGCTGTCTCCTAGCGTTTGTTCTTCTGGGAGAAAGTTACTTGCTTCTAGACGTTCACCTGTAAGAGCAAGGAGTACTTTTCCAGAAGCTCCCTGCAAACCTCTCCTTCTGTTTGATTGGGGGTGGAGAGCGTCACTCACACCTTCTGGAATCAAGATCAGCACCAGGAGCAGGGTTAATTTGAGGCACCATCAGGTGCTGTCTGCATCCAGCTTCCCATGGCTTCTGCTCAGAGGGGATACAAAACAGAACAATCATACACCTCCCCCCTCCTCTTAAAAACCAGCCCACCTATTCTAAAACCCTTGGCCTGGATTTGCAGGCATTTCTGATTAGAGTTTGAGTCAAAATTGAATGGGTGAAAAAGGAAGTGATCTAAGGATGTGTGAAGCCAGGCTCTGTGCTCTCAGGGGCCAACCTGGGTCTGTGGCCTGGATGTGCTGTGTGAGGCTGAACTGGCCCCACAGACTACACTCAGTACAGAAGGTGCAAAGGGAGAAGGGGTGGTTTTTTCTGTGGCCACTTCTTGGTTTATTAACTTTTGATATTTTTTACTCCCTCAGTTCAGTTCAGTCACTCAGTCGAGTCTGACTCTGCGACCACATGGACTGCAGCACGCCAGGCCTCCCTGTCCATCATCAACTCCTGGAGTTTACTCAAACTCATGTTCGTTGAGTCGCTGATGCCATCCAACCATCTCATCCTCTGTCATCCCCTTCTCCTCCCGCCTTCAATCTTTCCCAGCATCAGGGTCTTTTCCATTGAGTCAGGTCTTCGCATCAGAAGTATAAAACATTCTGTGCCCTCTCCCCTCCCTTCATTTCCTTCTCTCCTCTCCCCGGTTTTTGTCGTTTTGACAAAGTAAGCTTTTGTAACATTTACAGTGTATTCTGAAGAGTTTTATTACTGTCTTTTACAGTGTAAAGTTCTATAACATTTAATGTCTGAAGTCATAATCAAGTCTGCTGGACTTTGTCTACATGCTGGTTGTAGAAGCGGAAAACTAAAATATGATCATGTCATTGTTGTTATAGAAATAATTAGAACATTGAGATGCTGAAAGAAGGAAATCTCAACCTTTGACATTTAAATGTTGCTCCTTGAAGGAGAGCAGCATCTTCTAATAGTTTATTGTTTCACTTCTTTCTTGCTATTTCTTTCTATTCATTATTTCACTTCTTTCTACTCATTATTTGGTTCATGGTCAGCTATTACTGTTTAGGATCCCATGAGGTATGTAAACAGGTACATGTAAAATATCTCAATTTTTCAGTGTATACTAGTTGATTGATTCGCAATATCAGTCACAAATCAAAAGAGTAAAGTGGGCACGTTTAAGCCCACCACCCGAATTAGGATGTGGAAGACCCTGTGCCCTCATTCCCTCCCTCACTGCAGCTCAGAGGACCCTCAAAAGACACCTCCGGCCTGACGTTTGGGTTTGTCATGTAAGTGTGTATCCCTAAACTATGTGGATGAGGGGATGTTACACAGAAGGAATCCTATTGAGGATAGTCTTCGGTAACTTGGTTTTTTTCACTTTTATTACTAAGACTTATCCGTGTGTGTACAGAATTTGTTTTCAGTCTATAATTCACAGCACGAATGTACCAGGATTTTAAGTCTATTTTCTAATTGAGGAATGCTTAGGTTTTTATTTTTTTCTTTTGCCATTATGAACCATACTGCCCTGAACATTCTTGAGTGTGACTTGCTATCCATGTGCAACGATTGGATAGGATGTATCCAATCTAGGATGTAAATCTGAGGGTGGAAAGTACTGTCAGAGAAGGTGAACATTGGACTTGGATTTTTTTTTCTGAAGAGATTATATTTGTTAGTGTTCCCATTGATTCACATCTTTTTTTTTTTTCACATCTTTTATCAACATTTGGTATTAAGAGTTTTTAGAACTCTTAACTTTTGCTGATTTCAGTTCAGTTGCTCAGTTGTGTCTGACTCTCTGCGACCCCATGGACTGCAGCATACCAGGCTTTTCTGTCCACCAACTCCTGGAGCCTACTTAAACTCATGTCCATCTAGTCGTTGATGCCATCCAGCCGTCTCATCCTCTGTCTTCTCCTTCTCCTCCTGCCTTCAATATTTCCCAGCATCAGGGTCTTTTCCAATGAGTCAGTTATTCACATCAGGTAGCCATAGTTTTGGAGTTTCAGCTTCAGCATCTGTCCTTCCAATGAATATTCAGGACTGATTTCCTTTAGGATGGACTGGTTGGATTTCCTTGCAGTCCAAGGGACTCTCAAGAGTCTTCTCCAACACCACAGTTCAAAAGCATCAATTCTTTGGNTTTTTGATGATCCAACGGATGTTGGCAATTTGATCTCTGGTTCCTCTGCCTTTTCCAAATCCAGCTTGAACATTTAGAAGTTAACGGTTCATGTACTGTTGAAGCCTGTCTTGGAGAATTTTGAGCATTACTTTACTAGCGTGTGAGATGAGTGCAATTGTGTGGTAGTTTGAGCATTCTTTGGCATTGCCTTTCTTTGGGATTGGAAGGAAAACTGACCTTTTCTAGTCCTGTGGCCACTGCTGAGTTTTCCAAATTTGCTGATTTAATAGGTGGAAAGTTGTCATGGTTATGCAAATGTCATGATTAAGCTTCTTGTCATAGGTTTACAGGATATTCTCTTGTGAAATTTTTTTTCCTTTTGCCTATTTTTCTTTTCTTATTCCTTTTTTAAAGTTGAAATATAGTTGACTTACAGTACTGGTTTCAGGTATTTATCATGTGGTTTTGACACTTACGTACGTTAGGAAACCGTCTGCACAGGGAGTCTAGTAACTGCCTGTCACCTCACACAGTTGTTTCTGTGTTGTCGTGTGCCCCCTGGACCTAGAGGTCTGCCCCTTTCTGCTGCTGTTTCTCCAGTAAGTGCTCTGCTCTCTCCCCCTCTCTGCTCTTGCTGCAACCTCTCTAACTGGAATGGTGCCCTGCTTGATGTTGTCCTGGAGGTCCTTGAAGCTATTCTCGTTTTCCTTAGTTCTTTTTTTCTCTTGTTCAGCTTGGGTGGTTTCTGTTCTACTACTCAGCCTTCCAGATCCTTGGTCTATTCCTCTCTCATCTGATCTACTTGATTCCTTCGAGTGTATTTTTCATCTTTTGTATTCTCCGGCTCTGATCGGTTCCTTTACATATTTCTCACTCTCAGTAGACGTTCTCACTGTGTCCGTCCCTCTGCCCTCCTGAATCCTGTGAGCATCTTTATGGTCGTGGTCTTGGACTCTTTGGGGCTTCCCTGGTGGCTCAGATGGTAAAGAATCTGCCTGTAATGCAGGAGACCCAGGTTTGATCCCCGGATCAGGAAGATCCCCTGGAGAAGGGAATGGCAACTCGCTCCAGTATTTTTGCCTGGAGAATTCCATGCACAGAGGAGTCTGGGGCTACAGTCCATGGGGTCACAAAGAGTTGGACACAACTGAGTAACACTTTGGACTCTTTTTATCAGGTGGATTGTATGTGTGTTTGGTTACTCATGCCTGACTCTTTGCGACCCCATGGACTGCAGTCCACCAGTCTCCTCTGTCCATGGGATTCTCTAGGCAGGAATACTGGAGCAGGTTGCCATTTCCTCCTCCTGGGGATCATCCTGGTCTGGGGATCGAACCCAGGTCTCCTGCACTGGCAGGTGGATTCTTTACCACTGAGCCACCTGGGTGGATTATTCATCTCCGTTTTGTTAAGTTCTTTCTCTGAGGTTTTCTGTTGTTCTTTCATTTAGAACATATTCTTCCATCTCTTCATCTTGCTGACCTTTATTTCTTCATACTAGGTAGGTTAGTTATGTCTGCCAGCCTTGGAGAAGTGGCTTTGTGTGAACAATGTCCTGTGGGGCCCAACAGCATGCCCCGCCCTGGCAGCAGGACCCGAGGCGGCAGGGCTGCCTCCTGTGTGGGTGGCGTGCACCTTTCTTTTGCGCTGGGGCTGGCTGCTGTGGTGTGCTGGTGTGTAGGACTGGCCGCAGCCCAGCTGCCTGGGAGGCCTCGCCTCGCGGCGTTGTTGTGGGCACACTGGTGAGCTGGGCAGAAGCCTGGCGCTACTGGGCTAGCGGGAGGGTTCCAGGATCATGCCCACCAGCCCTGGTGTCAGCCCTGGGATCAAGATCACAGCCCTGGGATGCAGCCAGCATCTCTGTCCCCAGGTGAAGCCCTGCTGCCGCCTGCCTCTCCGGGAGGCTCTCTGAGACCCACAGACGGTCTGGCCAAGCCTCTCTGGGAGCATGGCCTCTGTGCGGGAGTTGAGAGTGCATGAGAGTCTGTGTACAACCTCTGAGAGCAGGGTCTCTGTTTCCTGTAACCCTGGCTGCCAGCTCTTGGTTCTGCATGCCCAGACGGTAACGCAGAAGTGGGGTGCAGGCTCTAGGCGCATAGCGCCCTGGCCCTGGAGGCCCCTGGCTGGGCCCCCCGCCCATGGGTCTGTACTGTAGCGTGCTTCCTGGCTCCGCTGGGGTTCCTCCTCTTCCCTTCTCTCTTTCCCACCCCTTTCTCTTTGCTCTGACTGTCCTCGCATCGTAGGTTCTGACCCTGGACGGCTGTTTGGGACTGAGCTGAAGAATGAACTAGCTAAGCTGCCTTTGTCCTTGCCTGGCAGACGGTCATTTTCCTTTGTGTTCCGGTGGACAGTGGTCCCGCTGGCTCGCTAGCTCCTCATGGAGGACGGGGGTTCAACGGCCTCTGCAGAGGACAACCGGGGCCCGGGCGGGAGCCCCCTGCTGCCGGTGCCCCCGGAGGGCCCCGCCGCGCCCGCTGCCTTGGAGCCCGGCAAGTCCTGGTCCTCAGCCCACAGACACGCGAGCAGGAGGCCCGGGCTGTCGAAGCTCTGCCAGAGCCGCATGCTGCTGTCAGGTAAGCAGCCTCTCCCCGCCGGCCAGCGGCCTGTGCGGGACGGGGCCATGCCGGCCTCCTCACTCGGTGACTCTGCTCTGACGGGAGGGGGGAGGCCTGTGTTTTTGCCTCATTGGTCCTGCAGTGACTCCTGAGCAGATGAGACACTCTACTTCCTCATCCAGGCGGGGCTGGGATCGGCCTGCAGTGCAGGGTCGGGCTTCTTACGTGGTGTGTGAGGTGGCTGGCCAGGTGGGTGGGCTGCCTGGAGCCCGACGGAGTTTTGTTCACTGGGCTCAGCACGTGCTGACTGTGCGCGCCCAGGCTCCTGCTCTCCTTCAGATGCAGGCGGCTTAGATGGGCCCGCATGCGGCCAGCCTCCCCAAGGCCTGCAGGGCCCAGATCCAGCTGAGGGGGAGGGCGCCACTCTGCCAGGGCAGGTCCTTGTTGGAGGGGCCCCCTGGGGGGCAGCAGGTGGGAGTTGGCTGGAGCTGGAGGAGCAGGCTGGGGGGAGGGAGGTGGGGAAAGCAGAGGGGGACCTGAAGGGCTGGGTGAGAACGGCCCGCTGCCGGGAGTGGACTTTCTGGAGTGATGGTGAACGACCCTGCGGCTGGGGGGCCCGGAAGGGCAGTGGGACAGTGGGGAGCTTGGTGTTCGTGCTGCTGTGTGCGGGTCTTGGCAGGTCCCGGGGGGTGTTGGAATATACGGCCAAGTGCTTGTTAATGCTGTAGTCACCTCGTCCTTGGGCCCTCTTGCAGGAGCTCGAGGCAGGGGCCGTGTGGGCTCTAATGCATCCCTTTGCTTTCCAGAGGAGAGGTGGAGCTCCTACTGCCTGTCATCACTGGCTGCCCAAAACATCTGCACGAGCAAGTTGCACTGCTCGGCCACGCCGGGGCAGACGGACCTCGCGGGGTCCCTGGGCAGCACGTCCTGCTGCTCCCTGCTGCGGGGCTTGTCCTTGGGGTGGTCCCCGCCGCTGCTCCCGGCCCCTGTGTGCAACCCCAACAAGGCCGTGTTCACCGTGGACGCCAAGACCACAGAGGTGCGTGCTGCAGGGTGTGACCCAGCCGTGCGCCTGGGGTCTGCGGCCTCAGCTTACTGCCTCAGACAGGCACCTGAGCGTGTCAGTGCAGCTAGGAGAGCGGTCGGGTCTACCTCTGCAGCAGCGAGAGCGATGCCTTTGGAGACCTCAGTATGAATCTGTCTGGGCAAATCAGGTCCTCCCATCGATGCAGAGATGCAGGGGGTAGTGCGTCATGTAATCTTATTTGCCGAGCGTGGAGAGCCAGGATTTAAAGCAAATGCGTTAGCGGGATCGTGTTTGTGTGCACAGAGCTGAGGCTGTTAGGTGGCTGGGCATGGGGCTGGTCCCCGCCCCTGCGCCCGTCTTGGTGGGGGAAGCCGGCGTGGTGCCAGTCTCCTTGCTGCACTGCTGGCAGTTGTTTCTGTTTCTCTGGGGTGGAGGGGCTGCGGTGGCTCTGCTGAGAGTTGCCGACAGCGGGGCGGAGAGCGCGGCCTGCACCGCCTTCTGCTTGGCTGCTCCGGGGGCGGAGGAGCTGCTGCTGACACGGGGCCTCCTCTCTGTGACTGCAGATCCTGGTGGCCAACGACAGAGCGTGCCGGCTCCTGGGCTACAGCAGCCACGACCTCATTGGCCAGAAGCTCACGCAGCTCTTCCTGAAGCCGGACCCCGACGTGGTGCAGGCCCTTAGCGAGGAGCATGTGGAGGCCAACGGGCATGCCGCCGTCGCTTTCGGCACTGTGGTGAGTGCAGGCCTCTGGCCTGCTGGCGTTCACGGTTGGCCGTCCCGCCCTTGGCCCTGGCGTAGAGGGCGGCTGTGGGCGAGGCCACATCAGAGTGGAGACGCTGCGCTTTCCTGGTGCTCCTTGATGAGGGAGGAGGCTGGACCCGCACTGGCAAGCCTGCAGGGCCCACGCCAGGTTCCGGGGAGCTGGCAATTCTGTCATCTCCCATCTCCATCTCCATGCCTACCTGTCTGGTGGTGTTGGGGGCTGGCATGGCTACAAGGATTCTCTGGAGCTTTGGGCTCCCCCAAGGGTGTATCCAGGCTGGACACTGACAGGCTGACTTGCGTGTTAAATGCTGAGCCCTGAGCCTCAGGCCTTGAAACAAGTTAGATAGGATCACGTACACCCAGAAAATTACCCGTCCACGGGACTACCGCCTAGAAGGAAAAGCAAACACTGAACATGTGTGAGTGTCTTTCCTTTAACAAATCTGGCCACCACGTTTCCCTTGCTTTATACTCCGCTGTGAAGCGGAGTATGAGAACAGCTACTCTTCTGATAGATCACTCACTCAGAGACCATGTGGTTGAGTGTCGGAAGCCTTGTTTGCGCTTTGATTAATTTCTATACGGGAGGCGGGTGAGCAGTGGGCAGGCACGCCCGCGGGCCGGGCTTGGGCCGCTCTGAGCCCCTCTGTGCCCCAGGTGGACGTTGTGAGCCGCAGCGGGGAGAGAATCCCAGTGTCTGTGTGGATGAAGAGGGTGAAGCAGGAGAGCAGCCTCTGCTGCGTGGTCGTGCTGGAGCCCGTGGAGCGGGTCTCGGCCTGGGTGGCGTTCCGGAGCGACGTGAGTCACGTTCGGGTTCCCAGCTGTGCATTGCCTTACTCCTTGGGGCCCCCCCCCCGCCCCCGCCCAGGCATGTCAGCACATGGTGTCCCCCGGGGCCTTGGGGCAGGAAGAGGGCCTGGGGCCTGGAGGATGTGCCTGGCTGCCTTCCTGGTAGCTGTGCTTGGGCAGGGCATCCGACCTCCCTGGCCTCTGTTACCCCACCTATGCTGTTGGGATATGAGCTCTGCCCCCCACAGGATGATCTTAACACTTGGATAAAGTCATACATGTGCCCCCTGGGTGGTGGCTGACACGCAGGCTGCACTTAAGTCTGGCTTGGGTATGCCGGTTGTGTGTGTGGTTTGTGAGCCTCCAGTGTGAGCCGGGCTTCTGTGGGTGCCTGGGGGAACAGGCGTTTGGGAACATCTGGCAGGGCTGGGAGACAGCGTTCTGAGGGCGGCTCCCTTTGCCCCTGCACTTCCGAGGCTGGGGCGGGGGCCTCACCAGAGCCTTGCCTTTGGCTGGAAGGTACGGAGGTTCAGTGAGGTTTGAAGCCGAAGTGCAGGGAACTTGGATCACGAGGCTCAACACCGGCTTTTCCTCCTAGGGCACCGTGACGTCCTGTGATGGGCTCTTCGCACACCTGCACGGCTTTGCGTCGGGGGAGGAGGTGGTTGGGCAGCACATCACAGACCTCATCCCTTCCCTGCAGCTCCCCTCTCCTGGCGAGCACGTCCCCATGGTAGGTCCTCAGGGCAGGGCCCTGGCCACTGGCGCTGCCTGGCCGAAGCTGGGCCCTGTGGCTGCTGGAGTCTCTCTGTCTAGTGTCAGTTGAGTTCTTAGACCCAGCTCCATGACCTGACAGCAGGAGTGTCTGCACTGCAGTCTTGACCGAGGCTCAGAGCCTCTGCGGTGCCCCGACTGGCCACCCCTGCCCCTGGTCCCCTTCCTGGAGCTCCTGTTGGGGCCTCTTTATTGAGAGGTCTGGGGACTGCGAGGAGGAGGAGTGACTGGCTGGCGTCGTCTCCCGCCGAAGTCAGGACTGCGGGTCAGGTGGTGGCGGTCGCTCGGCAGCTCTAGGGGGCAGTGGGGGTTTGGGCTGAGGGTTCTCTTCTCAGCTGGCCCCCCCAGTTCCCAGGGGCTCTGTTTCACATCTAGTGTGCAGTCTTCACACAGTGGTTGCACTGCCAGGATTCACCTGATGTCACAATCAGCCACTTGCAGGGTCAGATGGTCAGGGGTGGTCAAGCTGGGGTAAGGTCGGCTTTGCTGCTGCAGGAAATAGACCCTTCCAGGACGTCGGGGGCTCTCCCTGGCTCTCCTCTGCCTTCAGGCTGAGAGCCAGGGCCTTCCGGGCGGTGGAGTGCTAGTTTCAGTCCCTCCAGCTCGACGGGAAGCCCCTCCTCCCTCACCTTGCTCTCTTTATGCCCCTTATTCTGTCCTGAGACAGCGGACCTCCTGAAGCCCAAAGCTGTGGGGCTCGGTTGGTGCAACCACTGTAGGGGACTGTTCGGCAGCCTCTTATGCTTAACTCTGGCTTGCTGGCATAAGTCCTTTTGGACTTGCTCAGTCGCTTCAGTTGTGTCCTAATCTTTGACATTCTATGGACTGTAGCTGCCAGGCTGCTCTGTCCATGGGATTCTCCAGGCAGGAGTACTGGAGTGGGTGGCCAGGTGTTCCTCCAGGGGACCTTTCCGACCCAGGGATCGAACCCACATCTCTTTTGTCTCCTGCATTGGCAGGTGGATTCTTTACCATTAGCGCCACCTGGGAAGCCCTTGCTTAGCTCTGAACATAAGCACACTTCTGCCCCACCCCAGGCACGCATCCAGAGGAGGTGTGTGTGCCAGGAGGCATGTGTTTGTGTCTGCCAGGAGGCACACGCACACGTGTGTGTGTACCAAAAGACATGTAGGCATACTCCCAGCAGCTCCACGCTGGATCCACCTGTCACCTCTGCAGCAAAAGTGGCTGTGCCCTTCTTTCCTCGGGGCTCACTGGGGCCTGGGGTCTTCCCAGGGGGAGTCTGGGGTCTTGAGTTCCGCCCCCGGTCAGGGTACAGGGCTGATGCAGGGAGCTTCCCCATGTTCGGGCCTTGGGCCTCTGCAGATCTTGCAGGGGAACCCTTAAAAAGGAGGCAGGCACACTGGGTGAGGGGTAGACATGGGCCTGGGGACCGGCCGTCTTGAGAGCAGAAAGGAGCTGACCTGGAAAGCCTGTTAGATGTTGCTCTTGTGGGACTTGCTTGGGAGAGTGGACAGGTTCTGAGTGTTTAAAGCAGAGAAATTTGATGGAGGACTTGGTGGTGTGGATGATGGGGGGCCGTGGAGGCAGAGCGGAGATGGACAGACTACCCGGAGGCCAGCAGTCTGGGGAGCCCCTGCCCCCCGGCTGCAGGGCAGGTGCTGGGGGCCTGGTGGTCCAGGTGGGGAGCACAGGGACTCGCTTCCTGCAGGCTTGGGGGAAGGGCCAGGCCGGTCCTGGCGCGTGGCTTGATGGCGCTGTGTGCACTGTGTTTGGGCTCTTCTGGAGTGGGGAGAAGTTGTGCTNCCCGAAAGCCTGTCCCACACGAGGTCTGGTCTGAGTTCCTGCAGGGTGGTGTCACAGCCTCCACACCTCCTCCAGCCATCCGGGGGCCACAGTGGGTCGGCTCAGAGGAGGCGTCTCTGTAACCTCTTTCTTGGACTGGGCTGGGCTCTGCGGGCAGGCAAGCCTCTTAGGCCGCCTGAGAGGGGCCCTCCCTCGTGGTCTCCGCGGTCCTCCAGGGCTTCTGGGGAGGGGCGTGGGCGCCCACTTGGTTGAGGGAGTGGTTCATGCTGGAGGGAGAGGCTGCTATGTGGTGCGTCACTCGGCATCTGAGCAGCCCCCTGTCCCTGGCCCCATGCCTGGCTGGCCCGGCTCTTGAGGTGGGTGCTGGCCTGGGCTCCGCACACCTTCCGCTGAGTACCTTGATGCCCACAGGCAGCCATCACCTCTTGCCACCCTCACTGGGGCCAGCACTGCACACCCACCAGCCAGTCAGAGCTTTAACTAGAGCCTCAAAAGAGGTCCTGCCTTGTTTTCTAATAGAAATACTAGTTTGAATTAAGTGAAACAGTTCAATTGAAGTTAACGATCACACAGTTGGAGTAATTTCTGGACAAGGGCTTCCCGCAGGAACGTAGGGGCACCGAGTCCTTGCAGGGAGTACGTGAAAGCAGTTAGGGTTTGCTAAGGGAAAGAGAAACTAGTTGTGATTTCCATGGTGGGTGTCGGGTGCTCGGACCTGCCGAGAGGAGCTTGACCCGGGGTTTTTCCGGACCTTGTCCAGGCCTGCTCACATCCTTTTCACACTCTGTCCGGGTGGGGCCTCGCCGAGTTCTAAAGCACCCTTTGTTTTCTAGAATATCACCTTCCTGATTCCTGGTTTCTACCACCACATGGACCTTGCCTATGACAGCACCTTACCTCTGCGGGACCTGGCCAGCTGCCTGGACGCTGGCAGCCAGAGTGGGCCTGGGGTCAGCACGGGGGACGAGCCTGCTGGCACAGCCCAGGGTGAGGCCAGCCCCCTCCTCCTCCCGGGCCACCCCCTCCACGGGAAAGGGGCTGCAGCTGGGGGCGAGCGTGGGCATGATGGGGGACGGTGGTGGCGTGGGGACCCTGTACTGTGGATTTGGTGTTCTTCTCTGTGTCTTGTGAGCCTTCCACATTCCAGGGGATGGGACGCGTGTGTGGGGCTCACAGCTGTGCTGGTGGTGTTCTTCTCTGTGTCTTGGGGGCCTTCCACGTTCCAGGGATGGGACACTTTAGTGGGACTCACAGCTGTGTTTGCACAGAGCGCAGGACGGGAGATGCCCAAGTAAGTCACGTGTGCCTGCGTCTGGCGCCATAGCTAGTTGGCAGTCTTGCTGTGCGAGTAAGTGATGTAGCTTTATGTAAGTAGCTGAACGTGGGCTGATGTCAGATCCATCCCTGAGTCAGCAGTCTCGTAGAATTTGTTTAGTTTTGTCTATTTCCAGTGTTTTTTCTTTTTTTCCCTCTAATTTACTTATTTAGTTTTAGCTGTATAGGGTCAGAAACATTGTGCACGCGTTTCTCTAGTTGTGGAGAGTGGAGGCTCCTCTCCAGTCGAGGTGCGAGGGCTTCTCACTGCAGTGACTTCTGTTGGGGAGCACCGGCTCTAGGGTACGCAGGCTCCAGTAGCTGAGGCTCGTGACTCCTGGCTGCGGCTCACAGGATCTAAAGCACAGGCTCAGGAGTGGTGGTTCCTGGGCCTCACTGCCACACAGCACGTGGGCTCATCCCAGACCAGGGGCTGAATGTGTGTCTCTTGCACTGGCAGATGGATTCTTTACACTGAGCCACCAGGGAAGCCTTCCAGTGCTTTTAACTTAACATTTAGATGACTCCAATAAAAGCCCTGAGTCCACACTGTGACACTGTAGCACCATGTGAGGGGTGCAGTGTGGGGCTCCCGCTGCACCGACCGCTGGTTGTTCTCTGGAGGTGGAGCCTGGGGAAGAAAGGCCCAGCGGAGGATCCAGCAGCCTCTGGGGGGCTCAGTTACCCTCCAGGAGGCTTAATGGGGGAGCCCTGGTGTCGCCTCGGGGGCCCACCGAGGTCTGTGCCCACGAGTGCCGTTACCTGAGGGCGAGTCTGGGGAAAGACCTGGACTTGGAGGAAACACCAGTGGATTTAATACAGTAACTTAAGGGAGATGTGACTGTGTGGTGTCTGACAGGACGTGAGTGCTCGCTGTCAGATGGTGTGTGTCGGGCCTCAGATGTGACTGTGTGGTGCCTGACAGGACGTGAGTGTTCACTGTCAGATCGTGTGTGTCGAGCCTCAGATGTGACTGTGTGGTGTCTGACAGTGCGTGAGTGCTCACTGTCAGATGGTGTGTGGCATGCCTCAGGTGTGACTGTGTGGTGTCTGACAGGACGTGAGTGCTCACTGTGAGATGGTGTGTGTTGGGCCTCAGATGTGACTGTGTGGTGTCTGACAGGGCGTGAGTGCTCGCTGTCAGATGGTGTGTGTCGGGCCTCAGATGTGACTGTGTGGTGTCTGACAGGACGTGAGTGCTCGCTGTCAGATGGTGTGTGTCGGGCCTCATGTGACTGTGTGGTGCCTGACAGGACGTGAGTGCTCACTGTCAGATGGTGTGTGTCAGGCCTCAGATGTGACTGTGTGGCGTCTGACAGGACATGAGTGCTCGCTGTCAGATCGTGTGTGTCGGGCCTTGATTGCAGTGTTTGAAGTGTTTCCCATGTCATGTAGGATCTCTTTGTGGTGTACGGCCTCCCTTCTCGTGCCACACTGGCCCCAGCCTGTGCAAGCGCAGTAGTTGTGGTGTGTGGCCTTAGTGTGTCTATGGCATGTGGATCTTTGTTTCCTGACCAGGGATCAAACCCATGTCCCCTGCATTGGAAGTGCAGATTTTTCTCCATTGGACACCAGGGATGTCCCTGGTGTTCAGTTTTTAAAAGATGCCTTGTCAGGCTACTGACTCTCTTTGAATGGCCCCTTTTCTTAACATGAGGTTTCCTTCATTGTATCTGGATTTTTCTATCTGCAAAGACTCTTTTTTCAAGTTTATTTTTCTCTGTCATTATTACATTCCCTTTTCTCTTTTTCTAGAATCTAAGTTCTTTCAGTGTGTGTGTGTAATTCACGTTCTTTGTAGGAAATTGGGTGGGCGGCATCACATTACCTCTGCCCTCCTGGTCTCCAGGGTGGGCCTGTGGGCATTGCACAGTCGTGCCCCTGCCACCCTGGTTATTGTGGTGGCCTTGCCCTGCTGTAGGCTGGCACTCTATCTGGCCTCTGGAGCCTGGGTAGATCCAGGTGATGCATGTGCAGGCATGAGGCGGAGAAGACACCATGCTCCAGAAGGAAAGCAGAGCCGGGGAGCCTGTGCCTTCTGGGTCCCCAGGCCTGAAGGAGCAGGGCTTCTGGGAAAGGGAGCAGGCCAGGCATGGCGGGGAGGCCAGAGGCCCCGAGGAGAGGAGCAGGCTTAGGTCACAGGCCTCTGGTTCTCCCCCGGCATCAGAGAGTGGAGCTCCTGGGGGCTGTCAGCACTGAGGGGCCCAAGGCCTGGGCTGGGAGCCAGGGCTGCACTGAGGACGTGGGCCTGGCAGCATTTCTGAGGTCAGGTCAGGCCCCCACTCAGCGGACAGGAGGTGGTTTTCAGTGGGATGCGCCAGCCAGTGGGAAACACTCTTTTTTTGCCAGATCCAAAGGTGGACACCGAGACCCCAAAGCCAGCGGAGAGCCAGGACACATCCCTTATAGCCCCGGTCCCCACAGACCCCAGGGGCTCCCTGCCTGCCTCCCCGCCGGCACCGTCCCCTCCAGGGTAAGTCCTCCAAGGGAGGGGCAGGTGCACATGGAAGGGGGAGGGTGCTCTGCATGTGATGACAGTGGTGACACCGGCGCCCCTGGATGGCCGTGCTGCTGCCGTGTCGCCGGCCTGTTTTACGGGTAAGGAAGCATTTAGGCAGGATCCAGGGAACTGGTCCAAGCATAACTTCCTCGTTTCAAAAATCTCTTGACTCTGTTTGCTGTGTGTTTTTAAATAACACAGTATTCTATTTAGACGAGAAGGGTTCATTTTGGAAAACTTAGGAAAGTTAGACACGTCCACTTGTTCAGTTATCAGTCCTGTTGTGTGCAGCGTTTTGGTGTGTTTTCCACCAGTTTCTCATTTTGAAAATCACTTTGAGATTGAGTGTACAGTAACACGCTAACCTCGGTGGGCCTTTCTCCTCTCCCCCGGGAGGGGCTGCTTCCGCTCCGTTCGGCGTCCCTCGCTGCCCTGGGGTCAGGACACAAGTCAGCAGTGCCTGTCCTGAACCGGACCAGAAGCACGTCCTTGTTTCTGGCTTCTTTAGCTCTCCGTTGTGTGAGATTTATCGACACCACACAGTTTTCTAGTTTTCTTGAAATGATGTTTTAAACACGTGCTACGTGAATGTGTGTGTTTAACTACTGAGGAATAATGGTGAACAGCAAAAGTCCCCCAACTCTCCCAGCCGTGACCTCCTTCCAGACCACCTCCCCATGCCCTTGAGATCGAGCCCTTGCTACACAGACAGGCTGCCCTGCATATGCCCTCCTAAAGTGTGCACGTGCTGGAGGCACCGTGCATCCCCGGAGCAAGCCTGCTCCTCACATGGCCCACGGCTCGTGGACGCAGCCCCTGCCGTTTGCGTCAATCCCTGACTTCCGGCTTGGCTTCGGTGGTTGGAGCAGCATGACCCCATCAGTCCTTGCTGAGCGCTCACATGCACGGGGTGAGGAGCGGAGGGCCCATCGCCCCTCGGTTCCCCTAGAGAGTCCTGCAGGTCCTCGGAACTCCGCTCACAGCCGCCTCCCCTGCGGCGGTCCTCGAGCGGGGCCTGCCTCTCAGTGCCTCTTCTTAGCCCTCTGCTGCAATGTTTACCCATTGCTGCACGCCTGTCCCCCAGCCAGGCTGGGCAGCGCCACTTTCTGTTGCTCCCGGGGCTGTTGTCTGGCCTGGGCCGACCCGGGGCGGTGCCTAGCACTGTGCCGTTAGTGTTAGTGGCCGGGGTGTTAGTGGCCAGGGTGGACCCCATCCGTGGCTTTGCAGTAACCTGCAAAGCGGTCACTGCAGTCACTGCGGCGGCCTCTTCCTCTGTGGTCCTCGTCCCCAGCATGCTGGGGGCTCTGTGCTCTGGCTTCCAGGACCCTGTGCCCGGCTCTCCCAGCCCTGACTCCTCTTGCCCTCCCGCTCTGTGCTGTAGATCTGGTGGTGTTTGTAGCCGTCATGATTCCTCCCCTTTCTCCCCATACCTCCTGCTGCGTGGGCATAGGGAGCCTGACCCCCTGGCTGTTTGTCGGGGCCTGCTCACTGCATGGTGAGCGTGGGGACCACAGCTTTCAGCACAGGGTCCTAGCGCTCCGACTGTGCCTGGGTGAGTCACTGCTAAGTGTGAATTTGCCTGGAGAACGCGTGACTTGGTGTTTCACTTTTTAACTTTGTTATGAAAGTTCATCTTCTCTCCTGTCCTGTTCATGGTTGTCATCGCTTTGTGCTTGACTCTGGTGGAGGGGGAGTCCGTGTGATCTCTGTGGCTCCTAAGTGACTGTGTCGTCCCATGTCACAACCCGCAGGGGGGACAGCATCCCAGGAGGAAGCCGGTCACCGCCTGAGTGCCTGCGAGATGTGCCTGAGGGAGGCCCATCCGCCCGCAGCCGCTCGTCGTCACCCGAGGGCCAGCAGCGTTCCGTCTCAGAGCAAGAGCAGCCGGCGAGAGCAGAGTGCCTCAGCCGGGGCCTTCAGCGGGGGAGTCAGTCTGACCTGGGGGACACAAAGCCGTCTGCTTCCCAGGAAGACTTGGAAGCTGCCACCCTGGGTGCAGACAGGAGTGGTGGGGATGAGTCTCGGGACCCGTGTCAGGAGGTACGGGTGGGGTGGGCCGGCACCAGCGATTCAGACCAGGGCCCTGACACTGCCGCCACTGCCGCACCCCACACCGAGGGTTGCCTGGCCGGGCAGGGTCCCCAGGGGGAGCAGAGCATGCTGCCAGGAAGCCCACCCTCAGCCCCCAGCCCCCCAGGGACACTGCAGCTCCTGTTCTCGACCCCGCCTTTGGACGAGCCCTGGCTGGGCATGCAGCAGGACAGAGAGGAGCTGAACACGTGCCTGATAAAGGAGCAGCTCTCCGCCTCGAGCTTCTCGGGGCCTAGGGGCGTCTCCTACGCTGAGCTGGTCCTGATGGGGCAGTCCCCGCCTTCCGCCCCTGCATCCTTGTCGGACCTGAGAGCCATAGACCCACGGGGTGGCCGCTCGGGCAGCTCCTCGGCCTGCTACGCCCTGGCCACCGACCTGCCCGGTGCCCTGGAGGCTGTGGAGGCCCCAGAGGCTGGTGAGAATTCGTTTTCCTGGAACCTTAAGGAGCTTATTTTCAGGGACTGGACAGACCGAACTTCTTCCAACTGTTCGTGCGCCACATCTGAACTTGGGGGCGTGCCCTCGCCTTCCATGGTGGGCTCTGACGCAGACGTGGGTGCCCTGCACAGGCAGCGGTCGGACATGCTGGATGACCGGGAGCTGCTGCTGCTGACCGGCACCTGTGTTGATCTGGGTGGGGGCCGGCGCTTCCGCGAGAGCCGCCTGGGCTTAGAGGAGACAGAGCTGTCCCAGACCTGTCTGGTGTCCTCCGAGCACCAGGATGCGAATGGCCGCGACAGCCCGAGCTGCATCTCTCAAGTGCCGGGAGCCGGCCCTGAGGATGACTGCCTATTGGAGGCGCCCGGGCTGAGCCTCCAGGTCACCTCCACGCCCGTGAGAGCCGAGGACCCCGGCCCTGCACCCCTTAGGGTGGCCGACCTGCAGCCGGAGATCCAGGAGGGCACCTACACGGGGAGCTGCTACCACCGGGACGGTTCGCAGCTGAGTATGTGCGGGCGGGTGGAGGGGTAGTCAGGGGTCCCGGCCGCTCTGTGCAGTGCAGCAGTCCCGCCGGGAGGGGAGGGTGGGGCTCGGATCTCCACAGGCTGTCGGGGTTCAGGGACAGCCAGGTCTGGGTGAGGACCGAGCCCACCCTCCTGGCAGTGCCTTGAGTCCTCCGGGGTGGGGAGAGCCTCTTTGTGGCTCTCCACATGGTCTTGTGACATTCTGGGTGAGGTTCTAGCCACATGTGGGATTTCAAGTCTGCACGTGTTCTGTGTGCAAGGAGGCTGCCCTTCTTGGAACCTCTGCTCTGGGGGGTGGTGGTCAGCCCTTTAGCTTTTCTCTTTTTATTTTCCTAATTTTCCAGCGGTGCTGTATTTCAACCAGTTGTTTTCCTCATTGCCAATTTCCTAGTGTTGACTACAGGGCTTTTTTCCTAACCTTAAAAAAAATTTTATGAGTGATATATGTTATTTGCAGAAATACTAGAAATAAAAGACTAAAAAAAAGAAAATAACCTGTAAACCCCCTGCCAGGAAGAAGCTAGGCACGTTTGCTTTGCTGTGTCCCCAGGAGGCTGTGTCCGCACACACCTGTGCCCGGTGGTGTGCTGTGGTGTGCACAGTGTGTGCAGCGGGGTGGCACCTGTGTGCGTGGCTCCCCAGCCAGACTTTGGAGGATGCTGGGGCAGCTTCTCCAGGCTCATCTGTGTTGGTTGCTAGTGGTGGGTCTCCCCTGAGCCGCTTGGCCTCTGGCTGCCCTGGTGGACGGGCCGGCCCCTGGCCCCGCGCCGGGGAGGTGTGGCCGCCAGCCTCAGCCGTGCCCTTCTGCGGGTTTGGGGGCCCTGCCCGCGTGGCTGCCCTGCATGGAGGCCGCACGCGGCTGTGGGGCTCAGCAGGGGTCCGGTCTCGCCGCCCTCCGCAGGTGTGCAGTTTGAGGTGCGGCGCGTGGAGCTCCAGGGCCCAGCCACCCTCTTCTGCTGCTGGCTGGTGAAGGACCTGCTGCACAGCCGCCTGGACTCAGCCCTGCGGAGCCGCCTGCTGCTGGCCAGCCTGCCCAGCTCCGCCCACTCAACCTGCGAGCTGTCCGTGGCCAGCCTGGGGGAGGTGCGTGTCTGTGGACGGCACCTGCTGTCCACCCGCCCATCCCGTCAGCACCCATGTCCTCCGGGGCGGGAGAGGCTCTGTGGCTCCCCACACTGCCGTCCAGCCTCCTGGGTGAGGTGCGAGCCACGCGTGGGCTTTCAAGTCTGCACGTGCTCTGTGTGCACGGTGGGGCCTGGGTGAGCGCCAGTTTGGACTGGCACATTCAGGCCCTGGGCATACCCTCTAGAGAGCATGTCTCTGGCTGGGGACCCCAGGGGCCCGAGGAGCAGGTGGGGCAGTGGGTGCTGCTCTCTCTGCCCGCTGCAGGCAGGGGGCCACTGCTGTCTCTGCTGCCCTCCCTTCAGCGTGCTGCGTGTGGTCCCTCAGACTTGCCTTTGTGGGCACAGGTGCTTGGAACCAAACCCTGGTTTGAGGAGCCCCCCAAGGCCGTGGAGCTGGAGGGGCTGGCAGCCTGTGAGGGGGCGTACTCCCTTAAGTACAGCACACTCAGCCCGATCGGCAGCGGGGCCTTTGGCTTCGTGTGGACGGCAGTGGATAAGGAGGCGAATAAGGAGGTACTGGGCTCCTGAGGGGTGGGGGTGCTGGGGGGTGTCTCTGATGCACCTCACACCCTCCCTCCCAGTCCCACTGTGGGTACACCTGTAGTTGCCGGGGCGTTTGGTGACCATACTGCCTGTCCCTGTAAACCCCCAGGCCGCCTGGATATCCCAGGCCTGGCCCGCTGCTTCCTGGGAGGGCCCATGTGGGACCTGTCGCCACGTTGCTCGTCATTGCTGGAATCTGCCACAGCTGCATGCTTGGCTGGACAGCAGGGGCGTCTGTGTCAAAGTCGTGTTGGTTTTAGTGATTTTTCAGTCGATCTGTTTGGTTTCTCCCTCTGCTGGCACTGGTGATTGTGCCCCCTTCTCTATTATTCGTATCTCATTGCCTTCTTTTCCTTCCTGCTGTCACCTTGACTGGGACTGCAGAGCCGTGAGGAGTAACAGGTATGCCACCCAGCCTCCTGGTGGTCCTCTGCCCACTCCGGTGACTCCTTTTATCTCTTGACTTTTGTTTGAGGCTCTTTCATTTCTTGATGGATACTTTTTGTTTGAGGCTATTTCATTTTATTTTAAGTTCAATTTTTTTTAATTTAAGGAATAAATGTTGACTTAGGTCTAATGACTTTTCAGCATCTATTGCAATGATCATGTTCTTGTTTCTTTTATTAATATATGAATAACCACAGTCAACTTTTATTTGCAGACTCAATCCTTTATTGCCTTGTGACATTTTTTAGTGCATTGCTGAACTTGGCTTGCTAATATATATTTTTCGATAGTTATATTTATTTATTTGATTGCTCTGGATCTTAGCTGCAGCATGTGGGATCTTTTAGCCATGGTATTTGGTATCTAGTTCCCTGACCAGGGATCAAACCCGGGCCCCCTGCATTGGGAGTGCAATGTCTTAGCCCCAGGACACCAGGGAAGCCTCCTGGCTTGCTAGCATTTTTATGTGGGATTTTCTCATTTATATTCATGCGTAGGTGAGTGTTTTTCCTTTCTTCATGTCAGTCATGTGGAGCCTGTGGAGCTGGGGACACCGGTGGTGGCTGGTGCCGTGACATCACGTCTGCAGGTGTTCCTGGCGAGAGCTGCTCCCCCTGCTCTCCTCACTCTTGTGTGCACACTATCTCCTCTTTACCAGACTTGCCAGAGAATTGCTCATGTTTTTCATCAAGTATCCATTTTCTTTATGTTGCTTTTCTGGTACTTTCTGTAAACTTTGCTGTTTTTCTGGCTTGGATTGAGTGTGTGTTTCTAAGCTGTGACTTAATACTGAGCGCTGTGCTGTGTGCAATTGTCTGAGTGTGCTCACACCTCCTAGAGGCTTAAACACACTGCTCTGGGCATCACGTGCCTCTTGGCTGACTCATCTTAACTTTCTGTTGCCATCTTTATTTACCTGAGGGCAGTCATCTCATTCTTGGTCTGGATCAGCAATCCAGCGGGCACTGTGGGCTTCCTTTCTTTTTTTGTGGCTGCACCACACCACTTTTTCCATGTATTTGTCTTGTGTCCGTCCATCCTGTGGAACTCTCTGATTAGTTCTCAAAACCAACATGAGTGACATTTTTGTTCATTTTTTTCCAGTTCTCAGGCCTCTTGTTTCATTTTCTTGGCCAGGACATCCAGTCCTTGGTTAAGAAATCGGGGTGACGTGGGGTATCTAGGAAACACCCTCTCCAAGACTTCCAGGGCCTGGTCTTGCGATCAGCCCACCCAGTTCCTCCATTTCCCCCATCCTCCTACTGTGCAGGTTGTGTAGGTCCACTTGGGACTTCCGGCTGGCTGCTGACTTGCTCCTGGCCCCCTCACATTGGACGGTGGTTATTAGGTTTCTTCTTTCACGTCCCAGGACTTGTGGGGGTGGAGGTGGGGGTTAGGGTAGAGGTGAAAGCTCCACAGCTGTTGGGGGGCCAGTGGGAAGGGCTGCAGTGACATTCCCTGTCTCTCTCGTAGGTGGTGGTGAAGTTTATTAAGAAGGAGAAGGTTTTGGAGGACTGTTGGATTGAGGACCCCAAGCTTGGGAAGGTCACTTTAGAGATCGCCATCCTGTGCAAGGTGGAGCACGCCAACATCATCAAGGTGGGGTGCTGTCTCACATCCGCGCCCGAGCACGCTGCCCTGGAGGTGTCCCAGTAGGGCCAGACCCAGCTCGCCTCTCTCTCTCTCCAGGTCCTGGATGTGTTTGAGAACCAAGGCTTCTTTCAGCTGGTGATGGAGAAGCACGGCTCTGGCCTGGACCTCTTTGCATTCATTGACCACCATCCCAGCCTTGACGAGCCCCTGGCGAGCTACATCTTCCGACAGGTGAGAGTGGGTCCGGCCACCTGGGTCCAGGACTCCAGGGTTAGTGATGCTGGACCTGGCCTCCGGCTTGGGGATGTTACTAAGTAGGGACATGTGTTTCGAGAAGAGAATTCTACTGTTGAAGTAGAGAGTGAGGTTGTTGGGGTTGGGGAGGAAGAGTGAGGCCAGGCGTCACCCTGGGGTGACCGGGGATGTGGGATGAAGATTAAAGTGTATTTATATCCAAATGATACCCACCCAGCCTCAAAGAGGAACCAGTGAAGCTCTTAGATTGGGCTTGCAGGCTGTGCATCTGATCTGAATTCTTGTCCACCACGGGGAGACCCTGCTCATTTGTACATGGACCTCACTTGAGCCAGCATCTCACAGGACTGCTGGGGCTAAATCAGAGAGTGCAGAGGCCCCCATGCAGCATCCCCAAGTCAGGCGCACGGGAAGTGCTGAGTAGACGTAGCTGTCCAGTTAATTAACCTGCAACGACTGTGGCTCTGGCCATCTCAGTTTACACTGAGTATTTGTCTTGGTTTCTTTCGTGTCTATCCGTGTATTGATCTTAGTCTGTTTGTTATTTTTTGGAAAGGGAGAGTAACCAGCTAAGTAGAAAGGTGTCCTGTGAAAGAGAAATTGGATGTTGGGGTGGGATGGGTTGGGGGAGACAACAGTTCTTCAGTTTGGGGAATGTGGAAGTTTCATTCCAGACGATTCCTTGCTCCCTGGAAAAGGTGGAGGGATGCCAGGGGGTGCGGGGTGGGGGGATGTGACCAGTCCACAGGTTTGCTCTTGGTTTCCTGGAGCTGACTTGGTTTCTAATAACAGCTTCCATGAACTGGTATTTCTTCCTCAAAGCTATGAACTCCCAGAAATTACTGGATTTCTGAAATTAAATTTCTGAAGCACCTACTTGTAAGTTTTGGTCATCACAGTTGTGCCCAAAGAATGCCGCCTCTCCCCGTCTTCCTGCTCTGGAAGGTTACACAGGCATCCCCTTTACTTGACGGGAGGCTTGCTTCTGAAGTCTTCGTGGCAGACAGGTCTCCGTGTGACATGGCACGTGCAGTCACGTACCCACAGCTGCCACCTGACTGCTGTTCACTCAGGGCTGCTGAGCCGGGGACTCGAGGGTCCGATGCCATTTAGCCTCTGCAGTGAGTCTCCACGGCCCCTCGCAAGTCCACATGGCAGTGAGCGCAGTGTGATGGACTCAGGGTTCTACAAGAAGACAGAGTCACGTGTACATGTGCGCGTCGCCTCCAGCCCTGGGTCCCGTCTGCTCGGAGCACAGCTCTCCTCTGCGGTGAGCAGCTTCTCGTCCTGCTCCGGCTCGTTACTGCTTTGTACTTAATAACCCTCGAAGAAGTTGTCCATATTGAGAGCAACGTGTGCTTTCTGCTTCCCACCTGGAGCCTGATAGTACATGTCTATGTGTGTGTGTCTCTGTATGTACATACACGTGAGTGTGTGTATGTGTGTGTGTGAATCTGTAAGAATAGACATCTGTGTGTTTGCGCACATCTGTGCAGTGTTACACGTGCACAGGCACACACGTGATCTGTACACAGATGTGCAGGCATGCGCACATCTGCATGTATGTGTATGTAAATATACGTTCATTTATTTATTCTGGCCAACCCAATAGAACTCTTACTTTGCTCGTGGTTAGTCTTTGCAACCCATTGGACTGGAGCCCACCAGGCTCCTCTGTCCCTGGAATTTTTCAGGCAAGAATACTGGAGTGGGTTGCCTTTTCCTTCTCCAGGGGATCTTTCCAACCCAGAGATTGAACCTGTGTCTCCTGCATTGCAGGCAGATTCTTTATCTGGTGAGCCATCGGAGAAGCCCTCTTTATTTATTTAAAGTTATTAATTCAGCTAGTTTGTCTGCCATTAATTGTTGCTTCTGACTCAGAGATATTCATTTATAAATGTAAAATTGTCTCTAATGATCTGAATGACTAACTGTGTCCCTGAAATCCCTGTGCCGGTTGGTACAGCTGGTGTCCAAGTTATGAGTGGGGTCAGAAGTCATACTAATTTTACTCAAACTTCACTGAGGTGCTGCTACTGTTGATCTGCCTCACCGCACGTGCAGTGCAGGCAGGCAGCAGTACATCCTAGTAACTACCCTCTGGCAGTAGAGACAGTGGAGACTGATGCGCTTGGCCCGTTTCCCGGGGAGTTCCTTTGAGGCTGCACCACTGGAAGGCCGCATGCATTGGGGAAAGCATGGCTCCGCTCTGCGCTGCTCTTTGAGAAGCTGCCGGAGCCTGGAAGTCGCAGCGTGGAAGCTGGGCTTCTGCTCCCAGCCCTGCTCGAGTTGCCTGATGAACTCTGGGGAAATCACTGCCCACCCAACCCAGCCCACACTCATTCAAGCACCCACCATGCGTCCTGCGGCTTCTGCGGCCGTCTGCCTTTCCTCCCTAGATGATGGTTCTGCCTGTCGTGGGGTGAGTGAGTGTCTGCTGGGGAGGTCACTGGTGGCACACAGACCGAGACCTTAGAAACTGTTTATGTGGGGCGTCCCTGGAAGGGCACAGGCACAGGGGAGTGGGTGCTGCAGAGCTGCCGTGCACGCGGTCCCTCTAGCTGAGGTGCCACCTGGTGTTCCTGGGAATTTGCCGAGGGGCAGGCCTGGTGGCTCAGACGGTAGAGAGTGCCTGCAATGTGGGAGGCCCGGGTTCGATCCCTGGATCGGGAAGATCCCCTGGAGGATGGCATGGCAACCCACTCCAGTATCCTTGCCTGGAGAATCCCAGGGACGGAGGAGCCTGGCGGGCTACAGTCCATGGGGTCACACAGAGTCAGCTTCACTGAGTGACTTCACTTTCTTTCTTTCTCTGAGGCCTTGTGTTAAGTGTCCTTATCACAACAGTGATCACAATGACAGTGAGATTACAGGTTCAATGACAGATTACAGGTCCAGTGACAGTGAGATTACAGGTCCAGTGACAATGAGATTACAGGTCCAATGACAATGAGATTACAGGTCCAGTGACAGATTACAGGTCCGGGTGCTGCCTTGTGGGCCTGTGCATGCCACCTTAGCAAGCGCTGCCTGGAGCTCTCCTCCGGCTCAGAGCCCCTGTCTGCGGCATCCAGAGTCTGACCTGCCCCCAGCTGGTTATCAGTTAGAGAAGGTTTTTTTCTTCTTTGCTGTTGCTTTATCTTTTTCTCTTGTTAATCCTCAATTTAAATGCATATTCTTCTTGAGTCAGCTTTTAACCAACGCCCGTGGCCCCTATTCCAGCTGGTGTCGGCGGTGGTATACCTGCGCTCCAAGAGCATCCTCCACCGGGACATCAAGGACGAGAACATTGTCATCGCCGAGGACTTCTCCATCAAGCTCATTGACTTCGGCTCAGCCGCCTACCTGGATCGGGGCAAGCTCTTCTACACCTTCTGCGGGACGATCGAGTACTGCGCGCCTGAGGTCCTCATGGGGAACCCGTAGGTGTCCCGGGCAGGCAGCCTGTGCTCACACCTTCTGCGGTAGCAGAGGGAAGCAGCTTCAGGTTGTGCCTCTTTGTGATGAGGGTGCCGAGTGCTAGAGTATGCTTTGGGAGGTCAGTGGGCAGGAAAAGGAAGCTCAGTCAAAGGAAGCCCGGTGTTGGGTACAGGGGTTCATTAGACTGTCTTTTCACCTTTTATGTTTGGAGTTCAATATAATCAAAAGATAAGAGAAGATAAAGAGTCCCCAAATTTTGGATTCTTCAAAGGAATGAAGAGAATTATTTTTAGTTGGTTTGTTTATTTTGATGCCAGCACTAGCAGTCTAGTCCAGTGATGTAGGTCGGGCTGGCCGTGTGAGACGTGAAGCGCTAATGCAGAGGACCTGTGCTGTCGCTGACCGGCTCGCCTCCACGTCAGCTGGGCACAGGGTAGCCCCCTGCTCTTGCTGAGATGAGAAGTGGGTCCTGTGGGCGTGGGCTGGGTTTCCAGCTCTGTGCTGGGGGCCTGGCCAGGGCAGGGCCCGGTCTCAGGGAGCTCAGGAGAGGTAAGGACAAGACGAAACTCAGGGGTTGTAGAGCATGTGCTCAGCGTTTCCGCCCCGAATGCGTGGGTTTCTGTCTTGTTCACATGTGCTGGAACTGGTCTTTACCCATGTGAGCTGAGCTCCAGGCAGGTCTGACTGTGGGTGTTTCACTGTACCTCTTTAGCATGTACTCTGGAGATGCGTGGATCCCCCTTCTTGTTTCCACGTCCTTCCACCCCCGGGCAGAAGATCGGCCCCCACTGCTGTCATGAGGACAGTCCTGTTGGCCCAGGGCCACGGCTGTGGGCTCACGGGTGTCTGCGGCTGCTTTTGTGCAGCCGTGACCAAGAGGATTAGTGTCCACAGAGGCCACGCAGCTCCAGCCTACATTAGTCACCGGCGCTTTGGGCAGGTGTGCTGACCCCTGCTAGGCTCTACTGGAGTTTTCTCCTCGGCCTCCAGAATCCTTGAAATCTCTTTCTACTGAAGTCTGAGTTTCTTGTTCTGGCATTTTCTCTCCTCTCACTGCCCTGAGGTCTGTCCTCATGCTTGCCCCCTGGCCCCCCTGCCCCCCGGTTCCTGCCTCCTGGCGTCCCCGGCTCTCTGTGGCCCCTGGAAGGCGGAAGGCTCTGCCCTGGGTCTCTGCTCACCAGGCTCCCTCGGCTGCCGTGGCTACACTCCTGTCTGATGAACACAGCTGCTCCCCAGGGCTCTGGGGGCCAGACCCGAGGGACCAACATGCTGGGTAGCACGGGGCCTGGCCTTTCTGTGCAGAACATTTATCCTGCTGGTTTGCTGTGGGCATTAGGGTTGAACCATGTAGACGGCTGGCAGGGTGCCAGCCTCTCAGAGCCCAGGAACAGTAGCTGGGAGGAGGGGGTCTGTAAGCACAGAAGAGAACGAAGATCACCCTGGGGCGCCATCCCCAAGGCCCCTCCTCCAGCTGGCAGCCGCCTGGACTCCGCCCCCACCGTCTCCTCCCTCCCGCTGCCGTGGGCTTGCTTCATCCTTACTGGCTCAACTGTGCCAGTCTCACCTCGGGCATCCTTCAGCTCTTTTCTGAAGGGCCGGCCACCCTGCCCTGAAGCCGCCGTGGCTCCCCAGGTCCCTGGGGGCCTGCACACTGCCTGCACTCCCAGGTTTTCCCTCCTCCTCTTCCAGGAAGCCCCCCGGGGGACACTGTGTGCGGCCCCCTGCCACCTCCTGACTTGGTCTCTCAGCTCGTCTGATCCCCAGAGGGTGGTGGGCGCCTGGTGGGGGGTGAACATGGTCAAGGAGTGTGGTGCTTCTCACTGGGAGCTGCTCTTGGGTGATGTGCAGGGTCCTGGCTCTCGTGTGGGGCTGGCCCAGTGCCCCGAGTGCCTCCTCTTCCTCCGACAGGTACCGGGGGCCGGAGCTGGAGATGTGGTCCATGGGGGTCACGCTGTACACGCTGATCTTCGAGGAGAACCCCTTCTGCGAGCTGGAGGAGACCATGGAGGCTGCGATAAACCCCCCGTACTTGGTGTCAGAAGGTGAGCTCGCACGGGTGGACGTCCTGGGCTGGCTCCCATCTCAGAGCAGTGCGCGGTATCGCCCACACAGGCACAGCCGGCTCGCTCTCTCTTCTATTCCTCTTAGACTTTGATCTGAATGTAAGGGCCATTTGGATGTGACTTTAAGATGTCACGACTGATCTTAGGGAAGTTTGGACCAGAGTGGCTCTCTTCTGAGGGACACACGTTAGCAGCCTCTGACCATGGCCATGGGGAGGGGGAGGATGGACTTGAGCCCCCAGCCCCTCGTGTGGAACCAGGGTTCCCACCTGGAGCTCCTGTGAGCTGGCTCCCCGCAGAGCTACGAGGTTGGCATTGCACCTGCAGTGCCGATCCCTGCTGGCGGGCCTGGATGGGCCCCTCAGACCCACGCCTGGAGGAGCTCCAGGGAGCCGGACCGGGGTTCTGAGGTTTCCCAGTTGCGACATGTGATCCCAGAGTAATCATTCATTGTCACAGGTGGTGAGGTGACGGGCGCCCTTAGGCGTCAGGCCTCTCCCTGGGTTCTTCGCTCAGGTTGGAGGCCTGAGTCTCAGTCCGCTCGGGCTGCCATGCCCGCAAATCACAGGCTGAGGTTTATAGCACTGACGTTTATTTCTGGAGGTGGAGATCCTGAGGTCAGGGTGCTGGCGGATTCTGGCTGGTAGACAGACAGCTGTTTCTTCCTGTGTCCTCACGGGGCAGAGACAGGAGAGGGCAGGCCCTCTGGTGCTTCTGCTGATAAGCACTGATGCTGTGTGTGTTGGGGGCGGGGGGCAGGCGCACAACCTCATCTGAACTCCTTCACCTCCCAAAGGCCCCACTTCCTAGTGTCATCACACTGGGAATCTGCAGGGGGCACAGTTCAGTCTAGAGCGGCCTGGAAGAATTGTAGAGCTTTCCTAACGTTCTGGATCCCCGTGATAGCGGGGCTCTAGCAGCCTCATGCTGCACCTTCCGGGGCTGTCCCACCCTGGGGGGGCTGCTCTACTCTGAGGGGCTGCTCCACCCTCAGTGGGTGGGAGTGGGCTGCTCCACCCTGGGGCGGGGCTTGGGGGGCTGCTCTACTCTGAGGGGCTGCTCCACCCTCAGTGGGTGGGAGTGGGCAGCTCCACCCTGGGGCGGGGCTTGGGGGGCTGCTCTACTCTGAGGGGCTGCTCCACCCTCAGTGGGTGGGAGTGGGCTGCTCCACCCTGGGGCGGGGCTTGGGGGGCTGCTCTACTCTGGGGGGGGCTGCTGCACCTTCTAGGGCTGCCCCACCGTGGGGGTCTGCTCCATCCTGGGGCTGGGGAGGGTGCTGCTCCACCCGCATTGAGGGGGGGAGTGGGCTGCTCCAAATTCTGCCCCCTGGACTCTCAGGACACTCACCCGGGCACTGAGGTCTGGAGTGGCCCTGGTTGAGGTGACATCCACACTGTTAAAGAAAATGGGAACCAGATCCAGACTCAAGGCTGGGGCTCTTCTCAGCACTTGTGCTCCCTTCCTGTGGGGAGAGACCGGGGTTCCGTGGCTGGCCACCTACCTCCCCTGCCCTGTCACACTATCCCTGTGTCCACAGCTGTGTGTCCCCAGAGCCCCAGAGGGCAGCGCACGTCAGGGCTGCCGCATGCTGCTGTAATGAGTGGCTTGGGAGCTCCAGCGCTATCATTTTGGGGCCACACACACGTCCCGTAGCCCTTCCGGAAGCATAGCCGGGGACCCTGCCTTCCAGAAGCCCTGCGGTGCTGGTCAGAAGTGGGGGTCCAGGCCCCTCCTGTCCACTCAGCCCAGGCCCTGCACTCGTTAAGCGCACCACCCACTCCCAGCCCGGGCCACCGCCAGCCCTCTGACCACAGGCCTTTCTGTCCCCAGACCTCATGAACCTCATGTCTGGGCTGCTGCAGCCTGTGCCCGAGCAGCGCACCACCTTGGAGAAGCTGGTGACAGACCCCTGGGTGACGCAGCCCGTGAACCTGGCAGACTACACCTGGGAGGAGGTGTGTCGGGTAAACAAGCCAGGTGAGCGGTGCAGCCCGCGCCCCGTGGGGGAGGGGGTCTTGGCTGCTCCCTGGGTCTGGGGGTGGGGGGCTCCCTCCTCCGCGCTGCCCTGGACATGAAGGTGAGGGCCCAGGGCTAGCCTGCTGCCTGTGAGCTGGACTCCAGAGGCCCCTGAACACCCCTGGGGCCTTAGAAGGTGGGCGACGCCCATGGGAGCCTGTGACAAGGACGAACCCACAGTTGAGGTGGAGGGCTAGGGAGAGGGTTTGGGAAGTGCCGCTGGCGATGGTCAGAGCAGGCCGAAGGGTAGGAGGAGAGCGGACGGTGAGGGAGCTGGGGCCCGCGATGGGCAGCGGTGGCCCTGTGCGTCCGGGGCCCGCTGCTCAGGAGGCCGTGTCTGTGGCTCTGGATGTGCAACTCCAGCACAGCAGCGGAGTCCAGCAAGTCTCGAACGATGCTGGGTGGGTTCTGCAGGGTTCCTCTGGTGCCTTCTGCTCTTCAGAATTCCTCCAGAGGGGAGCCAAGGGTTTCAGAACGGTGTCACTGGCAGCTGACGCAGCCTACCTTTCTCTTCCTTCAGAGAGCAGAGCTCTGTCCACCGTCGGTCTGGAGCTGGATGGCAGGAGCCCGAGTGCTGCCGCTCGGGCCCTGGAATCCCACCGGCCCTCGTGCAGCAGGGCAGGACCCAGAGCGCCAGGTGACCCGGCTCCCTGCTGCTCTCCGGCACTCGGTTAGGGAGGCGTGGCATTCTCAGGCCCCTCCCATTCAGAGAGTGAGTGCTCAAGAATTCGGCCAAGCTCACTTTCTAGAAACTCATCTGTTAGAACAAAAGCCAGTGATGCTGTACTATTTTAGGTTTACAAAATAGACTTGGAATTCATTTTTTTTCATGGCCTTGAAAAAACAAAACATTCTAGTGTTTGAGTTTTGTACTATTAAAGGGCTTTTCATTTGTGAATTTCCAAAAGTTATATAAGAGGCTTCTAATTCTCTTTGTACTTTTGTATATGCGCCTGCGTTTCTGTTTCCTCTGACTTGGTGTATGCTTGTCTGATACATGGAGTGTGGAGAACTGTTCGCCAAATGACCAAACTGTTTTTAATTTATTTCCTTGAATGTTTTCCAAATTAAAGCAGTTTTATTAGTCAACAATTACCCTGACTTGGACCACGTGAATTCTTCTGCAGTGCTTGTATGGGAAGCACTTCATTTCCTTATTTTTCTATTTGTGTGTCTCCACGTGCCACAGCTGGAGAGAGGTTCCGCCTTGGTCAGCTTGGGGTTCCCTCCTGTGGGTGCACCCAGCAAGTCTCTGAAGCTTGCCCAGTCTAAGGAGACTGTAGGGCGTGGTGTGTCAGCCATCCCCTTCTCCTTGTGCAGAGCTCAGCAGGGCTGGCCCATCATCTATCTCTGCTCTGCTGTCCACCACAGCTCCTCCCAGCACCTCAGCACCCCATGATTATGCAGAGGTATCCAGCCCCAGGGACCTCCCACTCGTGACTATGTGGGGGTGTCTGGCCCCAGGGAGCCCCGACCCATGACTGTGGGAGGTTGTCTCCCTACCCCGTGACTATGTGGGGGTGTCTGACCCCAGGGAGCCCCCTGTGACCATGTGGGGGGGGTATCTCCCCTACCCCGTGGCTATGTGGGGGCATCCGGCCCTGAGGGTCCCTCTCCCAGTCCCGATCGGGTCCCAGTGCAGCTCTCACACACTCAGATGACTCCTTCCCTCTAGGCTCCAATCCACCCTAATCTGAAATTCAGCCTCTATTTTGTATATGTTTTGGAGGAGAGAGAGCAGTTGGGGTTAGAAGGAAACCGTTCATTTCCCCCCCTGCTCAAATAGCAGGGAGGAAACAAAACCTAACTCAAGGTCCCAGTACCCCTTTCTCCATATGTCCTCACTCTCTGCCAGGGCCGAGGCTCCTGCCCAGAGGACCAAGAAGATGCTCAGGACCAGCCTGCCTCTGGTGTAATCCTGCGCCCAGTTTCCAGTGTTCGTTTAGGAAGTATGCAGCTGTCTTGATGACAGTTCATTTTATTCTCAACTTTTGGGATATAGGATGTCACCATCCCTTCCCTTTAGGAAGTGCTGCCTGAGTGTCTCTGACATCTCAAGAGATGACGAGGGCCCTTCCTTTGTCCAGCAGGGACAGTAAAGGCAGGACTTTTAGAAGTGTATTTTTCAAAGTCTGTAGTAAGTTAGTGACATTTACTCTTCAGAATCAAATCAGTCTTATGATATTCTAAGAACTCTTCAAAGTTAAAAAAAAACCCAAATATTTTCCTTTGTAGTTTCTATGATGCTTATAATACAGAAGAAGTTACACAATGCTTTTTTCAGACAGGTGTGCAATGGGGTGAGAATGCAAAATTCTAGGTCTCCAAGAACTGTTAGTTCTGTCTAAGAAAAATAACTAAAACTCACCTGATTTGTTGGCAGAGGAAAGTCTGAACACTTTGACAGTGTTCTCTGCAGAAGGAATCCAGGCAGAAAAGTTTTGAGGCAGATGCTGAAAAATTTTCCTCCCCACATCACAGGTAAGATTCCAAAGAGCAAGGCTGTCTCAGAGCACTGAAGTTGCCACTGACATTCTGGAGTGATCCGGGCACGCCCGCCACCACTGTTTCTAGACCTGGACACCTGTTAGGCTCTGTGACTCCTTCCGGGGAGGCACACAAGGAGGTTCTTAGGCTTTGGGTGTAAAAGCACTACCGTGATCTGTTCTGCAGCTCTGACAGCTGCATATTTCAAGGAGAAAATCAGGGTAAAAAAGCAAATCAACAGAAACAGAACCATTTCTTGAGTTCTACATGGTTTACAACCTTCCTCTTTTTTGATATCATCTTTTTGTAAAAAGATACATTTTTAGCACCCAGTCTGGTGCCTGGCCCAGAGAAGGTACTTTATAAACTGTATCCATGCAAATATTAAGTCCTTTTCCTCAGTTCAGAAACAAGTAGATAAAACAAGAAGTGCTTACAAATTAAGGTTTGGATTTAAAATTGATGGAGTTTAGGCAGCTGAGAAAGTACACTTTTTTGTTCTTTTTCACCACTATCCCCTTTTGAAAGATGCCCAGTTTCTATACCTGAACAATTACAGGTCTATATCCAAAATTTAAGAATGAATGCAAATTAGGCTGAAGCATTACTAGATTTCATCCCAGAAGGAAATCATACCTCTAAGTTGGGAGGACCTTTTTAAAAGAAAAACTGTAAAGACTTCTGGAGTTCCTTTGGATGGTTTAAACACCTCTAGCATATGTGTGTGTTTATCAAGAATTATAATTGGAGCTGGCAAGGAGTCAAGGCGCTTGTCAACAAAGGACGGGCTGCAGTCTGAGACGGTCGCTTAGCTGGAAGGGGAGCTCCCGAGACCATAGGCTGCTCCTGGCAGGTGCTGCTCTGGAAAGGCCGGGGGCGTCCCTGGGTCTGGCACAGTTCTAACTTCTCAGAAGTGCGGAGAGGGGCTGAGAGTAGGTGCTCCGCGGCCGCCAGGCCCCATCTGGAACCTGGTGATCACTCCATTCTCACTGCAACTTGACACTAGTATTGTTACTGGATACAGGTTCCACATAAAATCTTACATAACTTCACCTGGGACGATTCCATTTTACTCAGACCGCCCAGTCTCTGCCTTAACCTACTTTCTCTCGACCAGGGGGGCGGCCGGTTTGAGCCGAGGTTACAGTTTTCTCTAATGGGAAGCGAGCGTGTGGGGAATGGGCTGTTCATTTGTTGTGCCAGCCAGGAGCTCCGGAAAGCGGGAATCCGGGCAGAGTGGGCACGAAGCAGGGAAGCCGTGGTCTGGGAGCCCACGGTGCAGGCGTGGGGCGAGGGGCGCAAGACTCTGGCCAACCGCCCACGGCCGGACACAGGTGGAGAAGGGTCGGGAGGAACTGCCTCCCTCGCGCTTGCGTTTGCGAGGGGGAGGGCGGAAGCGACGGACGCGGGAGGGCTGCAGCAGCGGGTTCGGAGAGCGCTGCTTCCGGCGTCAGCGGTGCCGTCGCAGCTTCCGCGCTATGTCGGCGCTGGGTCGGCAGGTGAGCTGCCGCCGCGTTCCGGGGCTCCTGGCGGGTCGCGGGAGTGTGCGCGTGCCGACCTGGTGTGGCTTCCCGACCTTCGGCGCTCTCCGCCGCGTTGGTGCGGTTTTAGCCCATTGTCCGCACCCCGCCCTGCCGCCGGCGCTGGCCCGAACCCGCGGCTGGACCACTGACGGGGCGACAGGGGAGACGGGCGCTCCGAGCGGGCGGGCTTGGCTGAGGGCGAGGGCGCGGCGGCCGAGGGCGCTGGGGAGGCTTTGGGACGCGTCTTGAGGGGCGTTGAGGACCTGGGGATTGGGCCTTGTTGGTGGCGCGCGGGCCAGACCCCTGAAGAGTTCTGAGGTAAACGGGAACCCTGTGTAGTGTGCTGACAGGCTAACGGCATTCCGTTTGTGGAATGAATGCAGTTAGGTGAACCTGGAAACGGGTACGAGATACAGAGTTTTCGGATGTGGGTACCGACTCGGACCCCAGAGTTGGCACAGAAATGATTTTAAGCTAAAGACGTTTGAGATTCAGCAGAGACTCAAAGAAGCCAGCTTGGAGCGGCCCTTATCTCATTAAAAGCAGAACCTTCCAGGAGTGAGGGTGCCATAGAGCCCTTCTCCTGGGGAGTTACACTGCCTTGAAGGAAAAAAAAGAGGGATGACCCCTTGTATCAACATAAACATTGTCACAAACTTTCTGGGCTCCCACTTGTTCCCTGAAGAGCCCTCACGTTTGTTCTTCCTCTAGAAACCTTCCTCCCCCATTTGCCCCCAACTCTAGTCATTTAGGGAGCTACCTCTTTCCTGAATCAACATACACATATAAATAAACTTTTTTCTTCTTAATCTCTCAGCTAAATTTGTAGCCCCCCCAACAATGAACAGGTAGAGGAACCCCCCACCCCTCAAGGTATGCTTTACCTGGTGGCCTTGAAATTGTTCTCCGAATCCCTCCTTGTCCCTGTCCCCAGTTATAACTGCAAAAGCAAATCTGTGCTTCTGCAAACTCTGTTCTCTGTACATGAACTTCTCTGTAGGCTTTTAAAGTCCAGTTATGACTTTGCAGATTGCTTATAAAAACTTATGTTTGTGTGGGACCAAGGAGCTAAATACCCTGACTCAGAAATCCTGTGGTGTTCATTGCATTGGTGTGACGAGGAATTCATTCCCTTTGTGTGTTACAGGTCTTTGATTGGCATCGCCTGAGCCCCCTTACCTGGGCCCTCCTCACTAGGCGGACTCGGCAGCTTGGAGAACAGAAAAGGACGACTGCTTTTTTGTTGCGTAAACTAATGACAGTCTCCAGTGGAGGGGGCCTTGAAGAGTCATCCTTTGTTGACCCCCCAAAATGTGCGCGGAAAGCGGAGCACAGAACAGGGCTGACTCAGTGCCTCCTTGAGAAGCAGAGAACTCCTGTGTCGCAAGAGAACGTTGTCAGTTCCCTCCTCGACATGGGTTTCAGTGATGTCCATGTTAATGAACTGCTCAGCATACAGCCAGGTACCCACCCTCAACAGATGCTGGACATCATTTCAGAATTAGTACTTTTGGGTCTGAATCCAGAGCCTGTGTATGTGGCCTTGAAGAAAAGTCCTCAGTTATTGAAACTGCCTGTGATGCAAATGAAGAAGCGCTCCAGTTACCTGCGAAAGCTGGGCCTTGGAGAAGGTATGAGCTGGTGGGGATTTTATATGTAGTACTGAGGAGTCAGAGCTGGAGACCGAATAGCCTGGTGAGCTGGATTCAGGAGGCTTCTGGCGGGGGGTGGGGGGGAGGTCCTTGAGAGGAATGTGTGATTTGGCTTAGAGGTGAGGAGGCAGAGTGACCTCTGCAGAGGGCCTTGCAGGAGGGAGGGGGAGCTGAGTGGCCCACCCGGACTCTTGTCTGGTGTGTTCACTGTGGGGGCTCTGGCATCTAGAGTGGCGGTGGTGGGCACGGGCTTTGGGCGTTGGCTCATGTGTATGTATGTGCCCTTTGCTATTTAATTGACTCGGGGTGGGCTCAGTGCTTTGTGTCTGTCTCTCTGATGTGACGCCAGAGACTTAGAGTTCCCCGTAAAGGCTTGGAGTCCAGTCAGGTGTCTTCATTTAATGTGAAACGTGAAATCTTTCCAGATTTCTGGGACAGGTGGAGTGGCCGTTCCCTAGCCATCATCCCCACCCCACAGGATTCACACTTCCCAAATCCTGAAAGCTCACTGGATCTCTCTCTCTTTTAAATTAATTAATTAATTTTATTTTTGACTGCCCTGGGTTTTCATTGCTGCGTGGACCGCTCTATGGTTGCAGTGTGCAGGCTTTTCATTGCAGTGACTTCTCTTGTTTGAGAGCACGGGCTCTGCTCTAGGTGCACAGGCTTCAGTAATTGCAGCGCGCAGCCTCAGTAGTTGTGGTGCATAGGCTTAGTTGCTTTGAGGCATGTGGAATCTTCCCGAATTCGAACTTGTGTCCCCTGCTTTGGCAGGCAGATTCTTACTCCACTGCACCACCGGGGAAGTCCATTTGGGTCTCTTAATGGGCTTTTTTGGAGGAGGAGGGTGGGGCATCATGAGGATCTCCAAGGATCCCTACCCACTTTCACCAGAGGAATTCCACTGTTTTGTTCATTCTTGTCTCTTGTTGGTAGAATATTGTTGGGGATGGGGAAAGGGGAGAAAAGGTTGGGAATCCAAATTTCAGAGGATCTCTACAGGCCTCCTTCTCTTCTCTAGAAGATGAGCAAAAGGTAATGGTGTGTGTTTCTCTTAACAGATGACCTCTTGCAGTGTAATCTGAAAGGCTCAACCTAACACCTTTCTTGTGCTCAGTTGCTTCAGTCGTGTTTGACTGTTTGCAGCCCCAGGGACTGTAGCCCACCAGGCTCCTCTGTCCATGGGATTTTCCAAGCAAGAGTATTGCAGTGGGTTGCCATTTCCTTCTCCAAGGGATCTTCCCAACCCAGGGATTGAACCCACATCTCTTTTGTCTCCTGCTTTGGCAGGTGGGTTCTTTACCACTAGCACTGCCTGGGAAACCCTAACACCTTATGTGTCTTCATTATAAATTAGCAAGCTCAGCGTGACCTTAAGCTGCAAAGATAAACACTAAACTCCTGAAATTCATTCCTGATGAGTATGTTTTATCAAGACACTGAGTCAACTGTTAGGGAAATTTAACAGTTTATTTAAGTGGTTTCCAGTTTCTAGGTACTGAGTTTTACTCAGTTATCTATAGGAAGGCCACATGCCCCAGTTTGCCTGGGATAGTCTCAGTTTATGCCGATTTTCCTAATGCAGTTACTAATAGAGCCTCTGTCCCTCAGAAGTGCCTTAGTGTGGATAAAACCTGCAGTCACTCTGCTAACCTGGAGATCAGTCTTGTGCATCAGGATTCTTACCGTTATTACGTTATTATTGTGGAACCACTCTTCATTGTGTTCCAGCTCCTAGGTCTTAAGATGTTGGTTGTGAATGTTTCAAGGACTATTTTATTACAGGAGGAAACATGAATACTAAGCCCCAACATGCAGGAAGCTGCTGTCCCATCCTCCTGTCTGATTTTTCCAGTAAATCCCTGTGAAAGTCTTTTCTAGGTGAGGAGGGCAAGAGGGGACCTAGCATATGAAGCAGATGCCTTTCAGCTGGGAAGCCTGAAAGAGGCCTCAGCGAGGGGAGACTGGGGAGTCTGAGAAGTGAACGGGAGTCACTGGGGAGCTGAGCCATTCTGGCCCCTTGTGTTTCCACAGTGCTCCTGGGAAGACATCTGAAGCCGCACTCCTTCTGTAGAGGAGAGGATCCTTGTTTGTTTTTAAATTCTGGCTCTATTTAGGTGTGGTTGGCCCCTTGGGTTTCTGGAATATCCTACAATGATGTACCTGCCCTTTTTAATGGTCTACAGGGAAGTTAAAGCGGGCACTTTACTGTTGCCCTGACCTTTTCACCATGCGTCAGCGGGACATTGACGTCATCGTCAGGGTCCTGAAGGAGAAGTGCCTTTTCACTGTGAAGCAAGTCACCGAGATTTTGCACAGGTGCCCGCATGTTCTTCGGGAGGACCCTGGTGAGCTGGAATACAAATTTCAGGTAAGAATGACTGGTGGCGTGATGGGTAGCAGCGGGTTTCCAGTGTAGTCAGGGTCAGCTGACTCACCTGGGCAAGCAGACAAGGTCAGGATTAGACCCTCTTGGTTCACACCAGCCAGAGAATTCGGTTTTGAGTCTTCTTTGCTACAGGTAAAAGATCTTTTGCAACTTTTCTGCCATTAATAATGGAACTCAGGCCCGTTCTTAGACTTCATATGAGACCTCTGCTTGAAATACCTAATTTAAAATTAGCTAAAACCTTCCTATCTTTTGAATCTGTTTTGCATGTTGATCTTAGAAATGTAAGTATGAAGATTGTTCTAAAGTTTTCGGTAACAATTTGATGACTTAGGTCAGATCCTAGATGTTTTCTGAATTGTTTGCCTATTTTTTTCATGCTCCCAGTTTTTCTTACCCCATGAAGAAAAGTAGGACTTAATTTCTCCTTTCTGCCCTTTATTTTTTGCTGCATTTTTCTCGATATAAATTTGAAAATGCTTTGAAAGCTGTCGGCCATCATGCAGATGTTGGGGACCATACTGCTCTGCTGTTGCTGACTAGTCAGGTTTCTCCAAGTGCTTTTGGACAGTCGCAGTTGGCTGTGCTTTAGAAACCTACCAGGCTTTTTGCAGCTGCCTTCCTAACCATGTCTGTGTCTCCAGTATGCCTATTTCAGGATGGGGATTAAACATGTGGACATTGTGAAGACGGATTTCTTGCAGTACTCCATGACCAAGACCAAGCAGAGGCACGTGTTCTTGGAGCGACTGGGCCGGTACCAGACCCCTGACAAGAAGGGGCAGACACAGGTCCCCAACCCTTTACTTAAGGACATCCTCCGAGTTTCGGAAGCTGAGTTTCTGGCCAGAACAGCGGTGTCTTCTGCTGAGGAGTTTGAGGTTTTTAAGAAGCTCTTGGCCCGGGAGGAAGAGGAGTCTGAGGGCTGCATGGCTGACGAGGAGGAGGAGGAGGAGGAGGGCAGGGAGGAGGAGCAGGAGCTGTGACGGACGGACTGGAGTGAACAGAGCCCAGAGAGGTGGAGGGGTATCTTAATTTCCTCAAAGCTTTTGGGAACTTCACTTCATTCTTCTCAGGTTATTTTTTATTCTTAAACTGGTCTTTTGATGAAAAATGTTTAGAAATCACCTGAGAGGTAGACAGGCCAAACTAAGCGGCAGATGCTTTGGCTTGATCAGTCAGGTTCGTTGTGGAGGGCCCTGCGCCATCCTGAATCACAGACTGGGACCTCCTGAAGTCAGGGGGCTCAGTGCATCAGAGTCTGGTTTTACTGTTTCTTGGTCATCTGTGTTGGTGATAATTCTGTGACAGTGTGGGGATGTTTCTTCTGGTTCTAGAGTCATTTTACATCCTTCTAGTGACAAAGAGTTAGGAGAAGACAGTGAAGCTTTAGTACATCACAACAGTTTATTTTAATGACAACAAGTAGCAGATTTTCCACAAAAATACTCATGTTTTTAAATAAAAAATATTGCTTTGTAATTGCGTTCAGCGTACAGCAGAGTAAAAGAAAGTTGACTGGTGACATATGGTTTGTTCTGCACAGCTTCTTGATGCCAGCACTGTGAAGGGGCGCTTTTTGCATTTCTGAATAACAGGCCCGTCTCTGACCTGTGGGGGAACCTGCTTTTGTGCCAGCTCATTCCAAGGGCCGCATCCAGTCCTAACGTCTCTGGCAGCTGTGGAGTGCTGACCTGGAGCGTACCAGAACATGGTCCAGATGGGGCTTCTGAGGCCAGAGGAGAAGGCGCGCTTGCCAGGGTCATGGGGTGTTGGGGTCTGGAGCTGGGCCAGGGTCTGGGCTTGGCATCATTGCAGGGAGCTCCATGGCACCAGAGGTGGCCCCTTGGGGAGGCCAGAGATTCTGAGGAGCAACTTTGAAGAGCTGGGGTTGGGGAATAGGCTTGGGTGTGCACCAGGGCTCATCTCTGAGGTAGAGTCCCAGCCCTGGTGGCATGAGCTCAGGGGGCGGGGAATAGGGGGTCACTACATGTTCTGGGGGCCTATCCCCGGGGACGGGCTGGCTGGCACAGGATTGATGCTGCAAAAGACATTTTTGGCGATGTGCCCAAAACCTGAGATGCGCGGTAACTTGGCCTCATTCTTCTCGCAGAGATGCTGTAAGTCCTGTCAGGTGGCTGTCCTCACTGGGGTGCTCCTAACTCCTGGGAGTCCCCGGCACCATCGGGGGTCAGTTGTGTCGTTAGGCCCGAGGGTGTGCGTGCGGCCTCAGGACAGGCCTACAGTGGTGCTAAGGCGCAGATGCTGCTCCGAGGCCACCTCTAGCAAACACGACTGTGTTGATGAGTGAGAACTTAAGATTCTAAATGGGCTACTTGTGTTGTTTCTCTTTTATTTAAAAGATTTTTTATGATAGTTCTTTTCCACCCTGTGCTGGGATGTCGTTGGGAGATTGGAGCCGCATTTTACTTTGGGGATTCAGCACCTGGTGCAGATGCTTGTGCTTTCTCCAGGCTCATGCCAGAGCATGACTGCAAGGAGAGACACTTTCTGCAAAAGGCCAGTAGCTCAGTGAGTCCCTCCACAAGGGAGGCCAGCATCAGCGGCAGTAGTTTGCCAGTGGCAGTAGTTCCGACTCAGCAGAGTTGCGGAGGTTGGCTGACACTGGGTGGACCCTTGTCTATTGGGGTGCTGGTGGGGGGCAGCGAGGTGCTGCATAGCTTTCCCTGTTTGCACCGTGTCAGCCCTAGTGCAGCGGGAAAAGGGAGGTTTCATCTTTACTGTCTTCTTTGGCCATGGGAAGGAGGTTTCCTGTGCTCTTGTGTTGTATGGCCTTTTGGTGGCTGGCACTGTCCCTGGAACCTGGGATGTTGCTCTTGTGCTCCCCAGTTGGGGCTAACTGAATCTTAAATTTAAGCTCAATTGTGTGGTTAGTTGATCCAAATTTTGAATAGCACAAGACTGCTTTGGCAGCCCAGGATTGTTCGTTTTATGTCCACACAGAACTGTGTATGCCCCTGACAGTTTTCTGATTCCATTTTACTCATTTCTTTGGGTGGACTCTGAGGATTTCCAAGGATGACATTAGAGTTTGACGAAGGAGCCGTGTGGGAAAAAGCAGTGGCTCATTTGTAATGTTTCAAGGATAAATTATAATTCTTTTAGCATCAGGAAGTCTTCTACTAGATATATAATTTATAAAACACCAAAATGGGTTAATCATAAGAAAACAGCACCACGCTGAGGATTCAGTAGACTGTTTCTTGTAGGAACAAAGGCTTCTAAGGTCAAAACAGGAGCATGTTACATTTGCCTGTGGCTGAGGGGCTTGAGGTTGTTATGTGGCAGTGGGGCGTCCCGTCCACTTTCCGGTGGTCTTGCCGTCGACGTGTGGCGCCAGAGCTCACGTGGGTGCAGGGGCAGGGCCCGGCACATGGCACAGGTCAGCAGTGCGCGTGCACGCGTGTGGTTTCCTCTCGGTCCTCCCAGTGCGGGGCCCTGGGCTGCTCTCTGCCGTCTTCTCCAGGTGGGCCTTGGAGACGGGGTACCTCCGGGAGCACAGTAGAGAATGCCTTGCTGAAAATGACAGAATGCATAATACACAGACACATGCACACAGAACTTTAATATAAGTAAAAAGCCTAAAATAAACTCTGTAAAAAGTCTTTTATAAAGGTTGACAGCAAGGCGGCCTTCCTGCGCTGTAGTGCTGACTCGGGGCTGGGTCACTGGGAGGTGCCTGGGGCTTGAGCTCCAGTCTGGGCTGGCTGTTGGAGCGCTTAGTGCCATGCAGGGTGGGCTTTGTCGCTTTGGTTTTCACCTCATCTGTAGGGAGGAGGAGTGCAGGTCAGAGGCGTGCTGGAGAGAGGGGTGGCAGGATGATGCGGTGGTCGGTGTGTGAAGGAGGGTGTGGAAGATGCTGCCTGCTGCCTGGTAGCCCCCAGCAGTGTTGTTTGAGCCGTGGCCTCAGGGAGACCCTTCCCAGCACCTAGTCTGGTCTCCCCGGCTGCGCCTCTCCGCACTGCCTGGCTTGTAGGAGGGGCCCCGCGGTGCTTGGCGGACGTGCTGCTTTGGCTCTCCAAGTGGGGTTGAAACGGTGAGGTTTCCCTGAAACCCTTGAGGTCTGTGGTGCCTTGGTGGGACTTGCCATCCTGGGGATAGGCCGCAGCCTATGGCCTCAGAGACCAGGGCTGAGCTTAGCATGGCGCATGGGCCGACTCAGCTCTGCCTGCTTTCGTAATAAACGTTTACTGGAACCCAGCCATCCCTCATCAGTCACATGTCTGGCTGCATTTGTGCTACCACTGCAGGGCTGAGTCATTGCCACAGTGACCATCCGGTTCGCAGACTCAAGAGTACTGTCTGGCTTTCACAAAAAACGTTGTAGGTTAAAAAGTGTTTGAACTCCGCCTTAGTGTTTGCTATCATCTTCTCTTTCAAAATCAGCTAGTCCATATGGTGGGTCACTGCCTGCAAACGGTCAGCGTAGACTGCTGGCGGAGGAGAGCCGGCCGAAGGGCTTCCAGTGTGCCTCACCTCTGCACCTTCTCCCAGCCCCACAGTCTTTGCCTTGGAAGGTGTAGATAGCAGTTCCTCCTCAGTTTGTTGGTTGGTTCCTAAGGGGAGAATCCTTTTCTGACGTTGGAATCTGAAAGCTGGTTTCCAAAGGTTGCAGAAGCGTTTCTGGTGGGCAGCCTTGCTCCCCCGGGGGCGGACGTGTGTGCAGTGCTCGCTTAGAGCAGCCTGGGCTCTATCTGGTGAGGGTCTGTCCTGGAGGTCTCCCTGCCTGTGGCTGATGCCTGCCTGGCCTGGCTGGCTGTCTTCCAGAGGCCAGAGGAGAGAAGCTGCTCAGGCCACTGACTCCAGCCAGGATGCTGTTTTCAGTCTGATTTTAGACCTCATCTTCTTGGGCTTTAGAAACTCGTGAGGTGGATGGAACACAACAGGAACATCCTGAATCCTTAGAAGAGAAAACAGACCAGATATGAGGAGAAAGGCAGTTGTGCACATTCCTCTTCACACAGCGGCTTTGGGCTAAAGAGCCCACCCTTCCCCGCCTTGAGCTGTGGGTGCATCCCCTCTGATGTGGTGGGTGGGGGGTGGGGCAGGCTTGTGGAGGACCGGCTGCTCCCTGGTGTCGGGGACAGCCGGCGCGTCACAGCTCAGCTCCGAGGTCTGCAGGCTGCTCCCTTCACTGGTGACGCCATGGCTGTCCTCTGAAGATGGGCTGTCCCTGGTCTCAGTTGAAATGAGTTCTTGCACTTCGGTCTTAGGTGAGTTGTTGTGTGTGAATTGTTGTGTTGTTGAGTCTAAATCATGTCCGACTCTGCGACCCCCTGGACTGTAGCCCATCAGGCTTCTGTGTCCTTGGAATTCTCCAGGCAAGAATCCTGGAGTGGGTAGCCATTCCCTTCTCCAGGGGATCTTCCTGACCCTGGGATCGTTACCTGCATTGGCACATGGATTCTTTACCACTGAGCACCAGAGAAGCCTCTGTGTGTAAATGTTGCCTGCTTATTTGTGTTTTCTCCATCATCTTAAGAATAGCAGCAGTAGTGTAGTTAGCGTTAGTTCCTCAGTCGTGTCCGACTCTCTGTGACCCCATGGACTGTAGCCCACCAGGCTCCTCTGTCCATGGAGTTCTCCAGGCAAGAAGACTGGAGTGGATTGTCATTCCTTTTTCCCTGAGATCTTCTTGACCCAGGGATCAAACTGAGGTCACTTGCACTGCAAGCAGATTCTTTACCATCTGAGCTACAGGGAAGCCCCTCAGAATAGGTATTAAGAATAGGTATTGTAAAAGCTAGTATTTGCTAAGTTAATAGTTGAGGATTTCTGATTTGTTTTTATAGAAATGATTTTATTGGATGAGTTTTAATAAAATATTATGTTTCAGGTGACTTATTGCAGTATAAATATTTCACACTCAAGTTGTATCTGTGGTGGTGATCTTGCAAGCCTTGGAGTGCATCTTCTGAGTATTTGGGGGTGGGAGGAGTGGGATACCCGCTTGAGGTCACGTGTTCCCGCTCACATGTGGCTGCCCCGCCCGCGGGCCCAGCCGCCTACTTCCAAGATCTGCTTTAGTGTCGGCCTGGGCCTGCAGGGCTGTGCTGCTCCTGGTGTTCTTACAAAGGCCTCTGAGTAACAGGCGGCTGTGTGTGCAGCTGCTCTGCCCTGGCTGCCTCCCGCCTCTCCTGCCCCCCCCCCCCCCCCCCCCCCGGAGGACAGGCTTCTCAAGTGCCGAGCTGCCCTGGCCCAGCCAGAAGGCCTCCTTCATCCCCAGTGGCGTCATGTTGACAAGAAGTTGTGTTGGGCACTGTGGGTGTCTGGGTCAGCCCAGCATCTTCTAGACTGTTGAGAAGACCTGAGTTTCCGTGTGGAGAGGTGGCAGTCCCAGGGGGCTGAATTGCCAAAGAGGCTGGGACACACTGGCATGAGCAAGAACAGTGTTAGATGGCCCCTTCTGTTTCAGGCTGTCTGCGCGCCGGGGCCCTGTGCGCGCTCGCTGGGCTCCCAGTGCGCGAGCCCCCATTGTGCTCTCAGGCCCCCTCCGTGGCCGGC